ACACTAGATTATTAGTATAAGGTAAATTTCCTAAGGGATAAACCTAATAGTAATTCTGGGTTTATATTAGCGGAGCGGTTAAGAGACCTGTTAGTTAATGTAAGTAATAGTAAATAAATATCACTAAAGTGTAAGTAGTGCAGAGCGTGTTATAATCTTAATTCTATATTAATAATTAGCTATTTAAGTTATTTAATAAGCGTAAAGAAGTAAACTTATATATCCAGTTAGTCTAGATAAAATTAAGAGAATATCTCTTAATCTATTTAAGGATTAATATTTATTTTATTAATCTTATGATAAATTAAGAAGTTAATTCTCAATCCGCCTTTAGTTAGCTGTCCAGTCCTAAGTTAATCCGGTTCCGTCTACCCTATAGGCCCATTGTCGCGACTATAAGTTATTAGGTCGTGACACTTTAAGGGTAAAAATAATAATAAGTTTAGCTTAAAGGCAGATTAATTAATAGCATTAATAAACTAAGACAGGCTAATAGTAGAATTAAGCGCTAATAAAGCAGCTTAATAAGCGGCCTCCGCTTTATACTCCTTACACTTAATCCGCTTTAATTCCTTTAAGTTATTTAGCCCCTGTGTAATTGCACGCTTTATCCTCCTTAACTACTCTTATTTTTAGGTATAAAAATATTTAACCTTTACACTAAGCTTTAACTAAGCCTCCTTAACTTCCTTAAGCTCCTTATTTAATTTTAAATAATAAAATATAACTTTTTATATTTATTAAAGGGTAAGATTAAAAGCTTTATAATAAAATTTTTAATTTTTTATATAAAATAAATAATAATAAAAATCTTTTTCTAAAGTAATATATTTATAACCTTAAGACTTACAATAGGTATATAACTTTATAATAAAAATAAAATTCTTTAATATAGTGTTAGTAAAACCTTTATATTTCTTTTTCTTTTATATAAAAGTATTATTATTATCTTACTTATATTTAACTATAATAAAAATAAAGAAAGAAAACTAAGGAAAAAATAACTTACCTAAAAAAGAAAATAAATAAGGATACTTATATAATAATATAACTAAGTTTTAAGAATAAGACTAATAAGGAGGGAGTATTATATTATAACCTAATACTTATAGTTATTATAATAGGCCTATAAGGTAAAATAGAATGGATTAATTATAACCCATTTAATTAATTAAAAGCTTATGCTTACTAAAATAAGAAAAGCTAAGAAAGCTAGCTTTCCTTAATACTAAGAAAAGCTAAGAAAAATAGCTTTTTACTATAATTTAAAAACCTTAATTAAATATATAAGTTTACTTTACTACGCTTATTTAAATAACTTAAATAGCTAGTTATTAACACAGAATTAAAATTACAATACACTCTACATTACTTACTATTTAATAATATTTATTACTACCTTTTACTATTGCCTATAAATCTCCTAACCCATCCGCTAATATAAACTATAGACTAGGTTTATCCCTTAGGAATCCCATAAGCCACTAACTATCTAGGATATTAGTAACCGGGTCATTATAGGATTTAAGCAATAATTTTATTCTATGAAGAATAAAACATTGGTCATTTAGTTTATGGTATAGCAAATTACAGTTCTAGGAAGCTAAGAACTCCTGAGGTCAATTGAGCCATGAAAGATAGGAACCCGCCAACGGTCGGCCGAGCTTAAACTCCTCTTGCAGTGGAGAACTCCCTACAACGACTGAAAGCTATTACCTAATAATCACCATCTTTAACTACTCAGATTCTCAATTCTAATCTTAAATGCCTACTGCGACTCAACGGCATAAAAAGATATATCTTAGCTAGACTTAGCTAGCAAGAATGTGCACCTCTGTGCTATTTAAGCCAGTCTTACTCTTCTTAATAGTAATAAGGTTAAGGCGTCCGTTACTATTCTAGTTAATTATCTTAAAGTTAAATGTATTATCTGTGTTATGGAGTGTAGTTCCTATTTACATAATATATTTTTGGAAATTTAATGCCCTTAAAAGGATATGCACTTTTATACTATTTAAGCTAATATTACTTTTCTTAATAGCAATAAGATCTGGATGTGTATTGCCAATCCAGTCTGTAACTATAAAGTTAAATGTGTTGTCTGTGTTATAGAGTGCAGTTCCTGTCTGCAGGATGAATTCTTAAAACTTTAAAGCCCCTAAGAGAATATGCACCTCTATGCTGTTTAAACTAGTGTTACTCTTCTTAATAGCAATAAGGTCTGGACGTCCTCCATTACTATTCCAGTCTGTTATTGCGAAATTGAATGTATTGTCTGTGTTATGGAGTGTAGTTCCTGTCTGCAGGATAAATTCTTAGAGCCTTAAAGCCCCTGAGAGAATATATACCTCTGTGCTGTTTGAATTGGTGTTACTCTTCTTAATGGCAATGAGGTCTAGAGGTCCTCCATTACCATTCCAGTCTGTTATTGTGAAATTAAATGTATTGTCTGTGTTATGGAGTGCAGTATCTGTTTGTAAGATAGGCTCCTGAAAATTCAATATTACTAGCGAGGACCTTGGTCCTGACAGAGTTGCATCCATCTGTTTGACCTGGCCCTTGGTAAATATAGTATAGACTATATTATCTGTGTAGTCTATGTAGTTTATAAAGAGGTCCCTGTTAGGTCTGTTATTGCATGAGATCTTGGGAAACGTTGGCTTTCCTCTGTCGTATCTAGCTTGGTTTGGCGTGTCTTTGTACTGATCCGAGCAAAGCATATCCTATTCACCAAGCACCCGCACCCGCACCCGCATCCGCGCTTTATCAGCCGCACGCAGTTCCCGTCATCTAAAACGAGTTGACACGGGGATTAAGAGCAAAGCATATCCTATTCACCCCGCACCCGCACGGCCACGTCTCCCGCAGTCATTATCACGACTGCTGTAACGAAGAAGCTACAGTCATGAGCTTCTCCGCAGTATCGTCCGTTGCTTATACTGCTTGCATTGAATGCAAGGAGCGCAAACGGAAGTGCGATAAGGTGAAGCCCAGATGCGAAACATGCACTAGGTAAGATAGAGAGACATGGGTCTGCTCTGGTGACCTGAACAAGCTAATCGTTGTCGTAGAGTTGGTCGGACGTGTCGATACGAGCACGTAAATACAGTTCCGAAAGATGCTCCTGCTAGGAGACGATACACTCCTCGATCCGGAAACAATCGGTCTCGTACGTCCAGTGCTAGTGAAGTCACTGCAAGCAGGTAACCAAAAAAATTGCCAGAAGTATCAGCAGGCAATGTCCATTTTCCATTATTCTCTCCGATCGACCCGTTCTGCCACCACCAGCTACGGAAACCCATGGTTGATGTCCTCCTGGGCAACGAGGCAATCAAGATTATCGGGGCCGTTGAAAATATACGACTCATTTCTGACAATTATTTCAGAACGATACACACATGGATGCCTATTATCGCAAAAGGACGATATTCCGATCGTCTGCCAGGTATTTGGACGACACCGCATGCAGACTTTATTGTATTGACGTTATGCCTGCATCTTATAACTCAAAATCCAGGCGATGCTAGCGAGATGCAATCGTCTCTTTACGTGGCTACCAAACGCTGCATAAATCTCTTGGAGTCTACTGGTTATTTTTCAGTCGAAGTTATCCAGTCTTATTTGTTAATTTCGATTTTCGAGATGAGTCACGCAATCCAACCTGCTGCATCAATATCGATCGCTGCGTGCGCCCGGATTGGAGATGCCCTCGAGCTAAATAAGAAATGGCGCCAAGAGAGACCCAAGGATCCCATCATTAATACAATAGCAGAAGAGGAGAGGCGTGTATGGTGGGCCATCAACATCGTTGACAGGTAAACTTGCTCTTCATCAACGTAGAGATAGGCTCGATTGCACTGCTGAAATACCAAAACTGATTTATACTAAACCAGTTGCAAGTGCTTCAGGGAAAGATAAATAAGATGGTATGCATATCACAAGCTGACTGGATAGCTAGACATATTAATCTCTGCAACAGAGATGACTCTTTCTGCACAAAAGACCCCAGGGCCTGCGACCTTCTACCAATGCATGACGCCCTATGGGATCAGAATGTAAGGTAAAAATCACACTGTAAGATTTTTTGTTAATCGGTCGGGACAGACTATGGGTTCAATCACTGCGTCTAATATATCGACGTCGCCGAGCGTTTCTGTTGGTCCGTTAGCACGTGAATGTCAAGTATCCCATCTCATTGGGCGTTTGCTCAGACACGTCGTCGAACCAACCCCAAATGCAGATTTTAATGCAGAGGAAGCCATTCTGCTGGAAAGGACGCTATCCGCCTACAACACGCTTTTGATGAAAGATAGCGATAATCCCTGTGAGTTTTCTTGCGCAGCGATTGGGATGTGTAGCAGGTATGTCTTGACGCCGCAATAGTGATATTGGCCATCTAACAGGCGATAGTGCTCTTATGATACTGTATGACTCTGCTCTAAAGTCAGAGGGCGTCGTCCAGAGCGATAAAATCAGCAGCCTGCGTACTCGTGTAAACTCTCTTTCTGCCGAACTTGTATCATTTTCTCATTATCTGTTCGTGGACCCGCAGTCTGTTGATTTAGATGAGTTGTCGCCTTTCGTGCCTCATTCTCTCTATCAGGCGGCTGTTATTCAAGGTCAGTTATGGATAAAGACAAGCGATATACATTATATGGAAGCTTTAGGATCACTACGAAGTGTATTGCATACTCATAGCAAGAGGTGGACAGTAGCAGGTATGTAACAAGAGTTATATTAAAAAAGTAATTCACTAAATGTATATAGGCAAATATTTGAAGGCTCTCGACTACTTCTCTACCCTACAAGACTAAATTGGGTAGACCAGGCTTTCAGTTGCAGAATGGGACTTTAATTTTACAGATATCTGCAGAATTAATATTATTTAGTTATAGGGATAAAATGCTGTATTTACTATCTAGTGTATAGTTTGTTATATATAGATATATATAATTAAAAAATCCAACTGTCTATAAGTTTTACATTTAATATTCGAATAGCTAAGTACTCTTATCTCTTACTAGGTAGCCACTGAGCAATTTCACGGCCAATAGTGTGCGGATAACCTTCTTGAATATAATGGAGACCAGCCCTAGATACACAATTTTTGTGTTTTGGAGCTTCTTAACAAAATTCTCTACTGTCTCCTTTGTAATAATAACCGCGGTTTCAGCCCAGAAGACAAGCTTCTGACTATCAGTATGCAGTAGCCAATCTACATACTTGTTAACGTTTTCCCACACGTCAGCAGGGTATCCTTCAATTGGAATCTCATTGGGAAACCGCCAAAGTGACTCGCGTAATTCCAATTGGAGGAATGGGCGACGATATTGTCCCATCTCTTCCTCAGATAGTTGCCGTAAAATGTTGAGAGGCAAAACCTTTTCAATGAAAACGTTTTGGTTGATTAGCAGCTCCCGCCCGAGGATGGGATCGCGAAATGCCTTGAAGTTCTCCGCGAAAGTAGGGCGAAACACGTCCCAGTTTGGAACGGGGAGCACGAACTCAAAAAATGTGATACCGGTAACGCGATCCTCATGACGACGTGCCCAGTCAAAGCAAGTGCTGAGCCCCAGTCGTGGATAACAAGGGCAATCCTTTCGGTTGGTAGGAGGGTATCGAGGAAGGCTGCTTTTTGAACTCTCATGATATATTCTCGTGTGGTTTCTGGGCCTCTCTTGTATTTGTCGAGATTGTGGGTCTCCAGCCAGGTAACATGGCTTGGCCTGTTGAAGCACGCCTTCTCAATCTCTGATTCATCTGATTCTAAGAGTGCGTAGAGCAATTTGTCGTACTCTGCATGAGCTGATCCCAGCTCGACCGCTGGATATAGACACTGCGTGGCGATGTGCCACTGAGTCGCTTCGTCAGGCATAGAGACAATATCATTGGTTGAAGGTCCTACGTGGATGATGCACCCGATTGAAACTGCCTGAAGGCGAAAACCAAAGGGACCTTTTAGTTTGTCGATAATTTGGGTTGAGTCCACTTCGTCTTCGTACGCTTTCGAGAGCTGACCAAGGGGATCGCTGAGATTCGCCATGAGGAGTTTCTTCACCAGATTTCCAGTCTTGAGAGTTTTGAATTCATCTTTGAAAAGATTCCACTCATTCATGAACACCATCGTGTCCTTCCACACCTCATAGAGGGACTTGCTGTAGTCCACCGGAAACTGCGCGGCGTCCGAGGCAAGTCCGACGAGACCGTAGACTTTGTCTCTTGGATCCGAGCATTTCGCGTCTTCGTGCTCTTCGAGTAGCCTCTTGAGAGTGTGCGAGCCGCTGTATTTCTCCTGGCGCAGTATTTTGTCCAGATTTAGTGGCCCGGATGTCCTATTATTGTTATACTTTGCGATGAGGTGCCTGAAATACTCCCACGAGAAAGACTCGGTTCCAAAGCAGACCCGGAGCTTCTTCGCTCGCCCAATCTCTTGCAGCATCCAAAGGCGATCCCAGTAGGGGTCAGTTCGCAAGTGTCTAACCATCTCCTGCAGAGTGCTGCTGCTACCCTGGGGGAAATCTTCCTCAGGCTTCTTGCTCTCTTCTGGCTTCAGCTTGCCTTTAATTTTTATTTGGATATCTGCGTACTTGCTCCCCAACCAAACCACGACCGTGCTGGCTCTGAAGTAAATTTGGTCCATGATCCTAACCTGTCGACTCCGTTCCTCCACATCACTCTGGTTTATGCAGATGGCGTCGATCTAGAATAGCTGATAGGCCTTCTTGAATATAATATGGCTGCGGAGGAATAGGAGTGCATCCATTAGGTTTTTCCCGACCTCGAATGGGTGGCCATTCGGGGTGATAGTATCGTTCGCCTTCTCTATGCCCCACATGTATGACAGCGCCTCGAACTTGGGCCTGCTACCGAAGGTGACCTCCGTCGGCGTGCAAACTAAAGGGTCGCTCTCATGTGCAGTCGGCTGTATCTCAACTAGTCGCAAGCTGTTTTTGTCAAGCTCTCTCCCTCGATAAGGCAGCACGTTGTCTGTCCTGGGTTTCGTGCTGCTCTCGGGTTTTTGGCCCGGGTCTATCCTCCGACGTGACTGGTTCGCACTCATGATTTCTAGAAGTAGTTGTTAAACTAGAAGGGAAATAATCTTAATATTAAGGTAAGATAAAATTTAAGACATTGTAAGGGGAAGCTGATGTTTGTTTCAAGACAATTTAAGAATAAGCGCCCAAGTTATGGCCCCGCGCCGCTGGCCGCCTTGTTGATCCAGGACGATTGGCGGGAATTCAGCCTTGTGCAAGGCATTAACACAGGCAGACACAACGTCTCTCATACAACAAAACATAGGAGAATCTCTAGCCTAGGGAGCCAATTAGGCTAGCGTTTTAGTTTAGTCTGCTTAAGATTGATGAGTTGTCAGTGTGTAAACTGTTTCGGATGCTCAGTAAGCAGCTCAGCCCCGAGCACCTCGAGGTAATTGGTATCCAGAGAACTAAATAGAGCACATATTTTACTTTTTCTTTTGGGCGAGTTGACTTTTGGGCGAGTTGATACTTACTAACACCAGGCTAAAGAGGCTCCTTTCTTCTCTATGTTAGTACATCACGATGGAACTGTAACTTGCTAACAATAGTACGCGCCGACAGGGATATCAAGCCACGACTTAACTAAAAAAAGATGTCTATTATAATCGTATCTAATCAATCTATGTCGTCTTTTGCCGTATATCATATCTCATGGGACAATACTAGGCATACTACACTTTCTTCCTCAACTGGAAACCCACCAAGGCGTGTCTTGACATAATCGCCAAGACCGCTCCTAGCAGTAGCGACACTCCACAGAATACAATCAAGCCGGAGAAATGCCCATCCTGATCATTGATAATGGCTCCGCCGATGGGGCTCCCGACCAGGGCGCCAATGGAACCTACCGCGTAGAGTGAACCGGTGCGTGTGCCCAGCTTGCGTACGTCTGATATGGATGCTACCATGGCGGGAACAATGGACAAAAAGCACCCCGAGGCAAAGCCGTACAATACACTGTAGACGATAAGCGGTGCGCTGGAAGCCGCGGGCAGCCAGAGAGCCAGGGTGACGATGCCGCCGAAGAGAGTAAGGAGAATCATGATATTGAAGACGCCGTAGCGGTCGCCTAAGTGAGCGGGGAGGATACGACCAAATGTGCTACACCTGTTAGCTTTACAAAATAACACCCAGAACACTATAGCAGACACTCACGATGCAGCATTTATGATGGAGACCAAATAATCGGCCAGCCCCGTTGACATGCCTTCCGCCTTGGCTTGCACGATGATAAAGGTGAACGGCAAGAAAGCACCCAGATAGAATATGAATGCAGACGCGGTGAGAAGCAGGAAAGGTCTCTCGGCAAAGGGCGTCACAAAATCCATAAAATTAAACTTCCTCCCCGTTGGAGGCAGCCTCGACTTGACTGTTAAGTTGCCAATGACGAGTAGTCCGAGGAACAGCAACGCTGTAGAGCGCATGGCCCAGCCGAAGCCGATGCGCACAACGAGACGCTCTACCATGATGGGCAGGACGACGCCGCCAATGCTAGATCCGGCGGTGACGATGCCGAAGGCGAGGGCTCGGTGTGCGCGGAACCAGGTGCCGAGGGCGGCGATTGCTATCAGCGGTTGTTTGTTAAACTTGATGGATATGGGAGAGACGCATTGGATTGCGGTGGGAATACATACGGGCATAGAAGAGAAACGAGCAGCCAAGGGCACTGCAAATGCTCTGGGAGAGGAGAATCTGGTAGTACTCCTTGGAGATTGAGGTCATCATGAGCCCGAAAACATGAAGAAAGGTGCCTATTAAGATGGGGATTCGGGGGCCGAGCTGGTCGGTCATATAGCCAACGAGGGGACCCTATCGTTATATTAGGATCTGTAACTTCAATACGATGGGGGAAGGGATGAGCCGTACCCCGAAGAAAAGCATAAAGGATTCCACAGAAGGGATCCACGCCACGGTGCTGGGCGAGTATGCCTTGAGTTGATGCGATTGGTAGTAGTCTTGAAATATGCCGATACCTAGACAGCCAAGTTAGTAAGCGTTGTCTGACAGCTTGGATGACTTCTTTAATACAATTGATCCATCCGAAACTCGCAAACACGGTACAGAACCCTCCTAAAACAACCATCCACGCTGCCAGGCCGCCATTGGGTGGAGGGCCAAAGTCTGGCTCTGTGGACGCTCCTTGTTGCTGTTGCTGCGACGGCGACTTTTCAACATCTGCGGCTGCGTCTTGTTGCTTCAAATATTGTTCTTGATATTGTTTTTCGACATCAGTCGAGGAGCCTGAGGATGCTCCAGGAATTGGAGACGACGACATTGCTGCGGCAGTCTTGGAAACGCGATGAGAAGGGGATCTCCTCTAGAATTGTGAGATTGTCTCTGTCCTTTGGTCTCTGAAATCCAGGACGTCGCGTCTTCTATATATCTATTCATCATCTTGTCACGCCCACATCTTAGGTCTTGCAAAGCACGGATTCAAAGAGCAGTTCCCTGTCGCGCATCTCGAGCGATGGTTCCGAATCTGGTTAACTGTACACTGCCTGACATATAGCCAATGACGCACCGACCCATGATCCGCAGAGCCCAAGGAATCCTTCATTTTCTCCTCCCCGGGAGGGCCCGCGCTTATTACGAACTCATCGGATATAAACATCACATCCCTGTCGAATCTACTCGCTGCTTGGTTCCGTGTTGAGTCTAGCGCATGCCATCAAACTTTCTGCGTATCCAGCTTCCAAGCGCTGGTCTGGTCCACCTCCACTCAGCTCACTCACTTACATCTCAGCCCATAACCCTTGCCATTGCCATGACATGATGCGGCAAAACATTACGAACCAACATCCAAAATATGGTCGGGATCCCGGGAAAATCAAAGGCTTGTAGGGACTGCAAGAGGCGTCGTGTCAAGGTATTGCTCGCATCCTCCCACTCACTGCCGAACCCTTCCCTGTCCCTGTCCCGCTTCGTCCCGTCCGGTCCTTGTATCTAATTCGCCTCCTAGTGCGACTTGACATTGCCCTCGTGCATGAGATGCATCAAGGCCGGAATTGTATGCAAGGGCTACGAGCAGGCGATGCTCTGGATCAACAGCACCCCGGACCATCCTAATGTCACTGCCATCTCTGCCATCACTGATGCCCAGCTACACCAGCGCCAGCAGTGCTCTCCATCCTCAGAATGGGCTCGACTTCTCCATCAACTCCGTGCCCAGCTCTCCCAGCCAAACTACGACACTTCATACTTCAGATCCCAAGCTTTGCGCATTCTTCAAGGCATTTACCTCCCTCAGCCACACACCGCAACATGCGACGAAATCGGCGACGACCCGACGCCCTCGTCCTGGATCAGGGCCGTGTGCCAGATGCAGGCTCCAAGTAGCACCCTCGATCACTCTCTTCTAGCATTTTGCGCCGTCCAGGTCAACTTGTCTGGTGATTCGTGCCTGTCTCAGGACGAGACAGGCCAAGTTTACAACCACGCTCTGAGCAAGCTCATTGAAGACTTGGACTCTCGGCAGCCGAGCAGCGACGAGATGCTGGCTGCCATCGTGGCCTTATCGACATGTGAGGTATGCTTACAGACTCCTCCAATCTTTTGGGAGTAAGTAGAGAATGTGGCTGATCAGACAGCTGTTCGTTTTCCCCACGGACTCAAGCTGGAGCGCCCACGCGCAGGGCATATCCGAACTCCTTCGCAATCGCGGCGTGCCGGAGCAGGCCACGGCGAATTGGAGAAGCTTATGCGTGCGATTGTGTATAATATGTGTATTTATAGCTACCAAATCACCAATTTCACAATCATGTCAACTCCCTCGCTGACCCCTGATTCCCCACTAGGTCATTCAAGGGTTGGGACAAAGACGTTCTCTTGGTCTTGAAGCAGACAGATGGCGACGTTTAATCGGCCCTTCGGGTGCTGACGACTCCTTCGTCCGAATGATGCATATAATTGTCGATGTACCCTCTATGCTGCAAGAAGCACATGCAATCCTTTTAAGCGGCAACAACCCTTTGGCTGCCTCGCAGCACAGCGCCCGCCTCATACAAAAATTTGAAGAGCTCGATTCTTGGAGACAGTTTCGCCAACGCAGCGTAGCGCCCGACCCCTTGTACTGGACCGTCATGTCCAAGATGAATCACCCCGCCGACGAGGGATACGCAGATAAGCTGTTTCCGTTCGCTCTGATGTTTTCGTCTATGGGAAGCGCGATTCAATGGATATTTTGCTCTACAGTTATGCTACACGTCATTGAGGCAGCTTTCCTCCTTGAAGCGTTGGAATTTACCACACCAAACGGTACCGGCAGCATATCTCCATCACCGTCAGATAACAGCAGCTCCATGCTGGCAGAGGCAGATGGACTAGCTCGCATGCTCTGCCAGAGCATTGAGTTCTGCTACCGCAATGATAACGGCCTCTTCGGGGCCCAGGCGACGTGCTCTACGCAGTGGACTCTGCGTAGATACTTCCGTCGACGCGGACTTGCCAGGGAGTTGGAATGGTGCAAGAGAATCAAGAATATAAGGGGCCTAGCGTCAAGGTGTGGGATCGATCTGATGCAATTTGGGCCTGATTGGTGATGGGCTTTGCGTGCGTTCCTCTTTTCAACATAGTTCTGTTTAGTACCGAAACCCTTTCGATGAGGGCAATGTTCTTGGCCTGAAAGAGGGTTCGAGATTGGCCTAAAGTCTGTCGACACAGATAGACGGCAACATCGATGTGACTGCAAAGTGATTAGCCTACAAGCCTTTTCGATGCAATAGAGGTGGACAATGGCGTCGAGGCCGACGGTTACTATAATGAACGCAAACTCCAGCGTCGGCGCGCCACTCACAAGCGTGGTATCACCTGAGATACAAGGCTATTGTAAGTTATATAGCCAAGAGCTCCTGGTTTAGTGTTTCGCTATATAATAATATTTAAGCAATTTACTCAAGGTAGTATATGCTATATTAAAGTAAATATATAATAGTTATTACAACCCAATATATAGATTGGTATATATTATAAATTAAATATGAACTAAATAATTAATTAATAAAAAGTTTATAATAACTTTATATTAGCTTTATGAATAGTTAATATAAGCTAATTATTAACCTTAGTTAACTTTTATAAAATAATTTACTGTATAAGTTAAATTAATTATATTTATTAAATAGCTTAAATAATTAATTATTAATAGAATAATAATATTAAATATAAGTTAAATTGTATTTACTAACTATATAACTTATATAATATACTTAATAATTAAATATAATACAGCTAGGACAGGGCAATTTAGCTAATAAATATATGCGCCTTTACCTCTATATTATAAGTTGCTGGTTCTAGGTAATATTGCAGCTGCTTGCCTTATCCATTATATCTGGGTCTAAGTACCTATGTGACGTAAAACCGTAGAAGCCTAAATTAAGTGATAAAGGGACTTACCACAGAGAGGCGCTCCATTTCTACAGAAATTCATATCGAAATAAGCTTTCTATGCATAACAGCTCGCGGACGATAGGTGTCGATCGTGCTCACTTGCGATCATTCAGCAAGATTGAGATTAGGCGGCAGCCAGGATGGACCAAGCTGTAGACCAGATGACGATAACTCTTATCATCATTCCGAGCGCTTTTGGTGGCTGTTTACAAGATTGGATCGCCATCCAAAGTGGCTGGACATGGCATGGCGTTGAGCTGAAGACTTGTGCCAGCCACAAAACCGGTTCCGCCTCTTATGGACATGCAGCACTTCCAAGGGATTTCTGACTAGGTAGGTATTTGGCAAGTTGGACATCCAAAGTTAAAATCTTCATGAGTAGATGCGTAATTCTGTGACTGGTCGCACTCAAAAGCTAGAGTGGTGATTGTATCTAGATTGACGCCAGATTCGCATGTTCCAGCTTCCATGTGCAGCATCATAGCGGATTTTGTCCGGAAGCAGCGATGGCAGCCAAAGCACTTAACGGTTCTTGGGGCATGAGTGATTTGATGCTGTAATAAGAGGAGCGTTGAAAACGTTAGATACTATTGGGTTACTATATGTAAAGCATGGTTTAATAGACAAACATTATTTCGATTAGCTGGTGTTTCAATATACTGTCCGCACGTTGAGCACCTATTGTGCTCATCGACATCGTGCTCGTAGAGCTTCTCCGAGGTAGCGAATTTTATGTTGCAACAAGTGCAAAAAAAGTGCAATACCTCCAAGTGGTCATTAAGATCATCGTGTTCTGCAAAATCTGGCGCTGGAGTGCACAAATGGCAAATGTTATGGCTTTGAGAATCGTGAAGATGCTGCTGCTTGGCAGAGTTTGAATTAAACCTCTTGTTACATCGGGAACAAATATAGAATCTTGATATAGTGAAAGGCGAAATTAGTGTCCCTAAAGCTTTTAGTTAATTATCTTAGGAGGGGCAGCTTTAGTCTACAAGAGGCCACTAGGCAGCATTTAACATGTACTCAATGAACCTCTAAAATAACAGGCTGATATACGCTGGAACTTCAATCTCGTGGCGGACATGTATTTTGAGTATCGGAAGCAGCGGAAGCTTGTATGATTACTTGGAGACAGCAGATGGGAGAATCGGATCAGAGGGCTGTAGCGGTGTTTCATCTTCCATATATCAGTATGTACTATAGATTAAGTACAGACCAAGCAGCTAATTATCTATGTTAACCGCGACACAGCGTTAACCTTTAGGAAAGCCAATTATTATAAAAACACTTAGTTCACTTAGTATAGTCTATATTAAACCACATCCCTAAGAAATTTCTGCTGCCAGATCAATCAAAAAGCTCCACATTGATTCTTTCTTCCAGCCTTTCTTCTTCCACTCATTCGCTGACTGAGGAAAGAGCTCAACAATACCCTCAATTGTCATATCATGTGCAAGAATCATAAACACATCATCTCGAGCATCCGCGGCTTGTGCGCCTTTGATAGTTTCTGTTGCTACCGCCGCATCATCCGCAAGTACTGGATCGAAAAACGGCTCATTTTCCTGACGGCCGCGCTGGGTGTTCATTTTTCGGAACTGAGCCCCAGTGAAAGCCGATGCTGCTCTCTTACTAGTCGAGGCAAATCTGAGAACGTTGGGGATGGGCAGAGCTTTAGAGGGCCGCATTTCACCTGCATGGTGACTCAAGTCGCCTCCCATCAAAATGAAAGTGTCAGGATCAGTGGTAGTGCGCGCTAGTCCAGACAAATGGCCAGTGCAATGTCCAGGTGTGTCTAGTAAGTAAAACGATCCATCGCCAAAAAAGTCAAAGGCACGAAAAGCTCCTATATGGATGGAGTTATGTCCTTCAAATGTAATTTCTCTGATATCGCGATCTCTGATGTGCTATTAGTCTAGCGATATGTCTTAAAATTGTGGAAGTATAAAAGACTTACTGGGAGTAACTCTCGAGGATGTGAGAATCTGGGTGGGTGGGATATCCAGGAAAATATGCCTTCGTAAACCCGGGCCCAACAACAAGCTCTGTAGACGCCGGAAAGGTTGTCATGTCGCCAACATGATCAAAGTGCCAGTGACTAGATCGTCAAATAAGTATGAGTAAAAGCGGTAATAATCCGTGAATAGGAGGAAAACACATAACAAGGCTTACCTCCATACAACACTCTCGATCCGGTCTGGATTGAGACCGTGCTCCCTGATAATATCTGCAACATTTGCCTTTACATCAAGTGAACCGTTTATCATTGTGATTTGGTTCTGTATCAGAGGAGCGCGTGTCTTTGTGTCGCAATGACAACCAAGATCGAAGAGCACCTTTCGACCCGTTGAATTCTCGACTAGAAATGACCATGTGCCCAATGGAGGAAATTTCTCAAACCCACCTACACTGGGCCTCAGTAGGAGGTCAGTCGGCATGCCATACATGCGCATAGTCGTATCAATGATGCAAACACGAGCAGCTGCGCCAGGAGGAATATCAAAGGAATCCATCTCGGTGACTCAATCTGAAGTACGTTATCTGAATTACAGTAGGAGTGAGATAGTATACGGTCCATCATGTCTCAATTTATAGTTGGGTATCTCATATTCAAGTCTCGGTTTTCGGTTGCCGGCTATGCAGCCTATAATGCAGCATACCGATTAGCGGATCTACATGGTTATGGTGTTAGTGTTTGACTACGACATGTACTTGGAGATATGTCATACAGTTGATGCCCGCTAATAACATTTAACTACAGTTAATGGCCATGAATGAGTGATCTATCCTGGCACTGTCTTTATAATAATTTGCGATTGCTATTATTACATGGACTGTCTTGTTTGAATCTTGGCGTATGATGCCTGTTAAGTGCATGCTGTGTCTTATTAATGTATAGAGTAGATTTTTGACCTATTTTGGTTTCCTTAACTATGAGACCTGTCAATTTACAAGATGCTTCAAATATTTCGAATATATCTTGTTATGAACAGGAAGCGAACATTCTTATAGAAAGGCAAGTTTATATATGTTCAGAGAAGCTTTCATATACTAAGTCTATTATAAAGAAGTAAGTTAAACTCTAGTACGTATACTGAGTCTGTTGTTATTCTGTACTACCTTAAACGTATTCTAAGACTTTATATTAGCCAAGGCTCAGTGTCACAGCGGGTTACTTTTGGAGAGCATCCACTTTAGGCGATCTGATTACCAATAAATAACGCGCCATGTGCTGATAAATCAGATTCCTTCCTGTCTCGACTACCGACTACCGATTGCCGTCTACCGATTGCCCGGTATAAGGCGATATGTCCTTCCAACATTTACTATTACTTGGCCAACCGCTTAAACTAAAACAAGCCGGCCAACATCTTCGAACTCATCGACTGTCATGCCGCTTCGACGACGAGCTCGCATCGTGTGTACTGAGTGCCATGCGCGCAAAGTAAGATGAGCCCATTGTTTCTCGTATGAAGCCCATACTATGCTGACGCTTAGCTTAGGTAAAATGTGACTTAACAAGTAGCCCAGATGGTATATGTCAAAATTGCCGACGTCTGCAACAGACCTGTGTGTGTGTCCTCCACTTTTCTCAGCCACCCGAACGATATTGACCACGGTTGACCAGTCAACGCCGTAGCTGCCGAAGTAAGAAGAAAGCTGCCTATAGAAATCATTGGCAAGAATCTCCCACAATAAATGCGCAAGAAGAACCGGGCTTGTCCTCACCTGCATCTTCAAACAGTAGGGCAGCTAATACCTCAGTCACGGCTTTGCCCGCCTCCCAAAGTAACCACGAGTTCAGAATTCATTGCTCCACGGGGCTTTTGTACGACGACTCTGCCGCATACACCGCCCCGGGGGGTAATCAGAAAGATTTTCCCTCTGGTACATGCTCAATTCAAGGTTCAGTTTCGGAATCAGTCAATGCGATTGCTCTGCCTCGGCCAACTCTTCTAAAAGCTTGGTTCGCCGCATACATGACTAACACATCTCACTACTGTCCTGTTGTCGATGTTAAGGATGTCCTTGGACCTGAAGGAGCATCGAAATCTTTGAATCTGGCGGTGTGTATGGTTGGTAATATTATGCGTCACGATCCAGATGGCCCACAAGTTGCTGTTGACTTTTATCAACAACTGAAGCTTTTTTTGGCAACCGGTGGCGAGGTAGACGCTATCTCTACCCTTAAAGCGATATGTTTGGCGTCCTGTCTCAGCATTGAACCTTCCAGTCCTATTCGTCTTCACGGCCCATTATATTGGACGAGTGCCGGTATCAGTCTAGCTCTTCAAATCGGCTTACACCGAGAAGCCACTTATAAGAATCGAAAGGATACATCACACCTGCGGAGGATCTTCTGGTATCTTCGGGTACGTTATTCGATATCGTCGGATAAAACATTTTGAATCTGACAAACAAGGGCAGAACAGTGACGCTTTTCTCACAGCGTGCTGGGGCAGGCCACGCCTCTTGCGATGCAACGACTATGACACAAAGCCTCCAGAAGCAGAAGATTTTGATAATCCTGGGCTCGATTCGCTAATCTTCATTGAAACAACCAAACTTTGCGATATTTTAGAGTTCTTATCCGACTACTTTGCGGAGCAACAAGGCGCAGCTACTAGCCTGATCAGCATGGGTGATGCCTTGGTGGACTGGATCAAGCACTTACCACCAGAACTGTGTCTCTATGACAGAGATGGCCATCGAAAACTTTATTCTCGCCCTGTTTCTGAGCTATTCATTCAGTACTTTGTCACAATTATTCTGGGTCAATTACCAAGGCAGAAGCAAAAGGAACACTTGCCCCCACCATCAATTTCGTCGTTTGTAGCAGCTTCCTGCGCCGTGGAGCTTTATGACGAAATTAATTGTCGAGACGATAGCGTGTCCCTTCTCCCTATGCACGGGTTTTTCTGTCTATCTATCTCACTCCCTTTACTTTGCTGCCAAGTCAAGGATTCAAGCACAAGGGCCGAGGCGAGGCGGCAGAGGATGATTGGAGTGCTTCGTTCGGTCCTGGAACGTATGCGAGGAAGATATGGAGACGCTGATATGATTATCCACAAAATGGACTGGCTACAAAAGATAAGAGATCAATCGCAGAAAAGAAACAAGGCAAGCAATGTTATACCAACCTGGGGCTGCGAGTCTTTTCTAAATTGCAGTTTGTTGTTCCCCTTTCCTAGGAAAATGTCTGATGATTTACAGCTACTCGAATTGGTTCGCGAACAAGATTGTGGCTTCTCTACAAGCAACTGGATGCCCGCTGATCAGCTATATAAGGTCTCTATAGATTTTGGCTTAATGGACTTTTTTAATTTCAGCTTTGATAACTTAGATAGCTTAGATAGCTTAGATAATTTTGGTATATGAGATTAATATGGTATCCAGCTGACATTTCAATAATGAACCCCCATTACAATTTCAGCCCCTATAGCTCATGTAATCCTTAGCTCTTACTTTATGCATGCTAAGTATTCTCGTAAGTTTCTATAATAGCGAATGATTAGTACATATTGCTCCGCCACGAATCAAAATCTTCACGTACACCCTACAACCAGCTTTGGCTAAAGAATGGCAGTGCCAACGGTGCCGATGGAGCGAATGCAATACTAAGTTAGCTGAAACTGAGCACGAAATAAACACATTTCCTTAGTAGTAGTAGCCTAGGCCTTGTTTTAGTAAATAATATAAAACCCTTTACAAAGAAGTTTACTAATTCCAATACTGGGTACTACAGCTTGCTGTAATGTAAAAGCTATTAGGAAAGCCAAGCACGCGTTTTCATCTGATCCTGAAGCAACTTGGACATAGCTAGCGCCTGGTTAATACCCATAGAATGGCCGATCTTGTTAAGAGAGCCTGCAATCCAGTTACGCAAATCCTTGGGCGCTACGCCCGAATTTGCAGCAACAAGCAGTGGCCACATTAGCGTAAGCCCTCCTGATCCGCTGATTGCGACACCCGCGCATGCTGGGCTGTTGGCCGCAGCCGAATCTGCAGACTTGTTAGAAGCTATCTCCATCTCCATCTCCGAGCCCAAGCTGAACGGCACGGAGGCGCATATATCCTCCACTAACTGCAGTGCTGTTTGGCGGCACTGTAACTCTAGGGTGTGTCGCTGTGGAAAGGCAATATCTCTTTCTGTTGAGGCGCTGATGCCATCCAATGTGTCCAGTATTAGTTCCTGAATCAGGATCCGCGCGCAGCGGTAATTGTTCCACATGGAACTGGCGGCAATACTCTTATAGATGTGATAAGTTGGACCCCAAATGTGGGGAGCTAGAGTCGCACTGTGCGCCGTCGGTACCTTGGCAATAGTATAACTCCAAGCAGAAGGGGCGATGATAAGAAGCGACACGAACGCGGCGTCAATGCTTAAGGCGGTACGGATGATTTCGACGGGTTTTTCGAAGCGCCCTTCCTTGACGTTGGCGCAGAAGTTAGCGAGTTTGATCACTATTGAACCGAGTTGATCTAATATATGATCTTTTGCGTCTCGATAGCAATGGACTTGTTCGGTTAGCTGGGCGAGTATCGGAGCGCTATGCCTCTGTTGGTAGATTTCGCTTAAGGTCTATATAATTCTAGTTAGTATGTACAATAAGTATATCAATAAGAGCTTATCAACATAGTACAGTAATAACCGTCTTGAGTGCTGTTAGGAGGGCAATGTTTCCAGGGGCCAACTTACAATCTGAGCTCGTAGCTGAGTAAACATATCTAACCCCTCAGGACGAGAAAGTTGCTCCGGTCCCCGAGCTTCCAGCAGCTTAGCGGCACCATCGAGATGGTTCATCCAACGATCAATGAAGGACGTATCGGTACAGGATACAATCTACACCGGATTCATCAGCCTCTTAGCTATACCAGGCGCCGTGGAAGCAAACATTAAACTCACTTCGAAGATGCCAAGCATTACTACGGCGGCGAGTACGTCATCTCTTTTGCATATATTTGGATCTCTTAGAGCTTGATTCGTCGCGCTCAGGGCTGTAGAGTACTCGACGTGGGCTTTGAGCATGGTCCTGGGGGAGGCATGGATGTTAGAGAGAGCGGCCAATGCGACGGCGGTTACAGCCGCGTCGAGAGCGCGGTTCTGGCGGTCCTCCATCAGTGGTACCAGATACGCCATGTATCGGGTCCGAGGACCTCCGGTCATGTAGTTGGTGTAGAGGTAGCCTCTTGCGATGTCTTGAACGGACGTAGCAAGACTGCGCGGAGGACTACCGGCCGAAGGGGGTGACGATGCCGGGGTTACCAGAGTACCTGTGGTAGTACTTGGCAAGATTGGGGAACTCGTGATGGATCGCTTCTCTTTCTCCTTCTCCTTGCCCTTCTTTTTGGCAGACTGGTGGTAGTTGCGGACAACTTCCTCACTTTGGTCTTGGAAGCCGAAGTCCGACTGATCCCGATAACCAGTGCAGACAGCACCTGCACGGATGCATGTAGCGCACGAAGGTCTCTGGTAATTGCACTACTCAAGCCACGATGAGTGCGCGTCCCGACATGGATGGTCCTGTCATGGCTATTTGCCTCGACGATGTGCGCATCGCACTGATATGGCACATGAAGAATCCTACCTACGTACCTTTAAGCGGCGAGTCCGGCAGCGCTCACAAGAAGGACTTGGCTTGCCTCGATAGACCATTCTGTAGTAAATTAGGCAAGCGCCGAAACTCAGCAGCAAGAAACAGCCGAAAAAGGAAGTCTGCGAGGCAGCTCGAGGCGCAGGACTGAGTGTTAGTCTCTGATGACATCAAATCACACAAGCTGTGAGCGATGGGACATGAAGTCAGGATGCCGCATGGCAGGAATAGAATTCGCCAGACGTCTCCAAACTTTCACTTTTTATCAGATTCGGTAAGCAGCTCGGCCGTGAGGCGCCAGCTAGGCACACGCTGGTAGCGCAAACTCAGCCTAAGCTAAGAGCCTCGGTGGGTCTTGTCGACGCTCGGCGCCGAATTGCCGACACGACATTGAAAGGCCCAAATGTAGAAAGCATTACGGTGCAGCCAAGGTTGACTCTGCGGGGAATTTGCTGGAGCTTGTATGAATGTGCCACGCTTGTTCGGGATTCGTAAGGCTCTGGCTAACCACCGGTAGTGCGGCTCCTTGGGGGAACTTGTGATTTGTCACAGCAGAGCATATTTGGTAAACTTTTTCAGCAACTATCGGCCATGGGGCGGCCCAGCAGGTGTTTGTTAAGAGAATCGTGTATGTTTATGGCAGAACCCAAACTGAGTTCTTCAGAGCCGGTTTTTTCCTTTTTTTTTTTGTGTGTGTTCACGCTCGACCAGATTGATTTTCTTTCTTTCTTTTTTTCTTATTTTTTTCTTTTTCCACTCCTTTTTTTTTCCTATCATAATTTGAACTACAAAAAGCGAGGGCATCTGATGTTACGCGGATGGTCGGAACATACATACATACTTACATTCGGAGAGGACACGATCAGTTCTCAGGTCTTCTCGCGTACTATCACCCACAAGCGCAAACTGCTGGAACAAAAGTCTCGCAGATGAACTGACAAATCCGAAAGCCATCTTCTCGTCACAACCCAGTCAGCTTCATCCTCGCCAGACAAGATCGTGGGATTTTCGAAATGGTCGAGCCCCGGAGCGCCAATAGACTCGCCTCCTGAGCCGTACAGATGGCGACAAAAACGAAATCCAGAGATTTCAGTCCAGTGTCTCAGCATCCCGGCCAGTGGACACTCGAGATGAAGAGGTAGCTCACCCCAGTAATACTTCGAGGTTGTGGCCATGCGGCAGGACTACATGAGGAAAGGTCTAGCTAGACACTTGTGACGTCGGGGCCTAAGATCTGCTGATGTAAAAGGGATACTATACTCTTGGAAGCAACCACTGCCACACAGCCAATATATGAGAGATGCGGATTCATCGCTGTCGATCAGAAAGTCGTGCCAACACCGATGGGGGTAGTGGTAGTGGCGGTGGTTATGTACAGGGATGTCGTGGACTTGAAGATTGACAGTAGTATATTGACTTCCGAATATAAAATAGTCGACTTTGTGTCTAAGCTGTTTACAAACTATTCGTAATCCAAAGATAAGTGCACCACGACAGATTAGACACGTTCTTTGAATAAGAGACCAGCAGGGCTTCCCCCTTTACCGTCGCTTTTCTGTATGGTTCTGCCACTGTTTTCATTTTTATGGCTGTCAGTTGAAAGATGGGATCTGCAGTAGCGCGCACACGCTTTGATGAGTACCGAACTTCTCTTTCGATGACTACAGCATTGGCCCAAATACTGGCAAACGCTGGCAGGAAGGGTGCTTTCTCGTTGGTAAGGTCGCACTTTGAGCCAAAACTTGTAAACGCCAATGGATTTGAAAGGACTATCTGATGCTTTGATCGGTTGCAGTCGACAAAAAGCAAGGCAACTGGATTATTTGAAAAGTGATTCTCGAGTTTGGTACGATGAAATTCAAGATTTTCCTGCGAAAGCAAGCACCGTGCTTAAGATTTTCTAAATCAAGAACCATCTATAATCTATATCCTTCCAAGTTCCTCCAAGTTAGAAAAGAGTGTGTTGCGTAATATGAACACTAACTTCTGTCATTCAAGCGGCTGCACCGCCTTAAAAAATTGCCTCTCAAACCCAGCCCAACTGCTCACTCACACCATCTTAGAGTTGCCATCTGTAATAGTTGGCAATGTTCGAATGGAGTTATTTGAAATAAACCTCAGCGGCGCCGTTGTCTTCGGTCTTTCCACTGTCGATTGGCAAGTTCTCCTTGCTGTTCGGGCTCCAGCTTTTGAAGATTAAATCCCAAGATCAGGTAGTCAATGACAACCAACCATTCCTCCACCACAGCTAATCCAACACGTACCCCAACATTTCCACCTACAACTGAAAAGGTATTGTTGTGTAGGAAAATAGCTAGAACTGAATACGTAAGGCGCACGAAAATAAGCGGCCAGGCAATAGCTATTGAGACAGGGCTGCGGCGTTCCTGGATAGGTACAGCGGTCCTATAACCAGATGAAATTACCAGTATAAAGGTAATTCCGGCAAAGGCAATAATATACAGTATAACACCAACTTTGGCAGTGGTAGAGACTGTAACTTTACCATTACTCGATGACCCAGAAGTGCCGCCGGCGATGCTAAGAATTAAGCCAAGAGTGATGAGAAGTTGGACTAGGCGAAACTGTTTCATGCCGAATACTTGAGTACCGCGAGAATTAATCCAATCAACGCTACCATGCTTCTTAGTATTTACACCAATAAACTTTGGGGGGGAATAAAACATACAACCGGGAGAGAACTCCTAGTGTCGCAAGTAGAAGTGGCGATATGCCAATAGAATCCATGATAATGACAGCTTTCAAGAGTCCCGTCGAGCTATCATGATATGTCAAGAGCTGGCATACCGAACCACCGATGCGGACACCACACAGGATAATGGTATATATCCAGCCTGATGCCCGGTGTAGCCCATGGCGTGAAGTGACCACGAGGGCCGCGATAAGAGCCGGTATGTATACTATGAGCTCCGCAATAGATACATAGCCCGCAGCACTTAGAGTCATGATGGCTTGGATAGATATTGGTAACACGAGAACCTTTGACTTTGTTATGGTGGTTGGCCTTTGCGGGTGCTGCTCAGTTAACAGTAAAAGGATGTCTAAATGTTTTCTTATAGAAGGATGTCTGAAGGTTTTCTTTATCTAACCCTAAATCTGTGCATGTCGCCCTCGGAGACCTTTTAAATCTTTCTACAAGACGTACTTCGCATCTGGCGCTTTTTGCTAGGCAATATTGAAGTCAAAGGTTACCCAAAAGGGTAGACTCTGCGGCGAAAATCTGGCAAGCCATTGCGCACCGCAACAAGTGGACCATCGAGCAAAGAAAAAAAAATTACATCAAGCTCTTACTGCGCCACCATATTGCGTCAAATATTTTATACACCGTAAGGCAGAAAGAATCTGTCGTGAATGGTCCGAAGTTCGACGGGAGGGCGCCACTATCTTTTGGTGGCAGACGATGCATGGTTGTAGCTATGATGAATACGATCAAACGAAAAAAGTCTAATGCCAGTTTGGATCGGAGTTGCCGAGCACAAGGCTGAGTCCCTTCGAGCCAAAGCAGTGTCGTTCATAAAAACATTGCGACAAGCTTACTGTAGATTCGCCCTTCTCGAAACCGAAGCAGATCGATAACTTGAAACTTGTGAGACACACATGCATGAGCCTTTCCATTTCTGGTACTCACTTCGGCGCTAAGCAGTTTCAGCCCATCTTCTTTCTGGCGGGTCCGCAAAGCCGCAGCGGCCGGATCGCTAGCGGCCGGATTGCTCAGTACTCGGTGCTTACGCGTAAGCGGCGGTGCCGCTCTGGACAGTCAGCGTTGAAAGACACAAGATCTGACAACGTAGTACTAGCAAATGGCTGCGAAAATTTGGGAGGGCCACTGCCCGAAAAGAGTACTGTAAAAGGAATAGAATAGCTACGACCGTGAGCTGAAGGCGTTGCCGGCAAAGGGTCGCAGAAGGGCAAGGTCTTAGTAGCCAAGTGGTTGCATTCTATAAGTAAAGAGAGGTATCCGACGGCAACCTTGATGTGTAGTATTCTCTGTAAAGATCTTTAATCTTATCACAAATCATGGGAATAATTAAAGATACGATCCGGTCGGCTATTGGAGCCGATCAAGTCAATAATGGCTTCGGAGGGCCAAACCTATCCTTCTTGGATAGGAACAGATCAAGCAACAGTGGAAGCCGTCGCGATCGAAGAAGCTCCGTGTATCGCGGTGAGCAGCAGTACGCATCTTCTAGCCGTCCACGGCCACGAAGTTACGAAAATGGCTATGCTGAGCAGGATGATCTCCGGGACCGCTCACAGCGTCGCCAAAGCGTCGCGTATTATGACGATAACGGCACAACTCTCAATCGGAACCATTACCAATCTCCAGGAAATCCTGAATATGTGATGCCGATGCGGCAAGCAGGCTCTTATGAAGCACCGCCTTACCACCAGTCCGACCGACTTCATGGTCGTCAATATCATGATGACAGGCTAATGCCTCCATTTTCCACAAGGGATATGCAGCTGCGAAGCTCTTTACGCGAACAAGACTTTTTTCGCCCTCTGGTTCTGCCACAGATCGCCTACGGGGAGGGGCAGCCTTTTCTTCGCGGGTACAGTGACAACTTGGCACACTACGGCATCTATGAGACGGATTTCATCGCACTAGTAGATGCAGTCAATGTTGCCATTCTGCCTAATCCTGAGAACCAGATTTTTCAGAAAGGAGCCAACATAGCCGGATGGTTTGTGTGAGTCCAGTCCCCACGTCTTCAGAGCAACCGCAATAGACTCATCTCAAAACTCCCAGGCCTGGTGCTGCTGGCATCGGACTTACAGCTGGCCAGATTGGGGTTGGTATTGGTGCAGCAGTTGGCCATGCATCTTCCATATCCCGAGTCTTATCTGCAGCCAATATGGACGTCTTCCTACCGAGAGGTGTCGAACTATGGTACGGTTGTCCCTAGCTAGTAACTCGCAGCCCCTTACAGCGGGTGCTAACTTTTTTTGAATACATGTAGTATTGGCACAGCGAAAGATATTGATGCTGAAGTCGGAATTGTTTCAAATGCGAACAGGGGGAGGACATACGGCGACTCATCGCCTGAAGCACGGATAGAGTCATACGGCGATCTTGTTGCCCCTCTGTCGCGAATATTGCCGCCCACGAGTCAAAATGGTCGCACTGATCCCATTGCCATGTTCGCCCGAGGGTTGACTGACCGAACGTCCCAGAAGACCTTGAGCAAAGCTGAGAAAGATGCATCCAAGGGGAAGAACAAAAAGTTGGATGCTCTGGAAGGGGGGCTGAAATGGGTAAGTCTTAGTTGCCCATATCGTCCATGGCATCTTTCTTGCTAACAGTTTGCTCCAGCTCATGGTGAGACGAGCTTCTCCTGACGCTCTCGCGCACTGGCAGCGAAAACTACAGCAGGACGACCGCGGCGTGTCTCGCCAGTGAGATTCACCGAACAGGCGGAGTTCCTCCTTGCCCTCAAATTTTGAAACGATACCAGGGATTTCCAGATTGGCAAATCGAATTTCTAATTCACTTTCGGTCGCAGACCTTATTCCTCGCGATGATGAAGTTACAAGTTCAAGGTCGGAGCTCGTTTGCTTGCAAGCATGGTTGCTATGCTATTCTGATTTGGAATTTGTTTAATTATAGAAAGAAACCACATGAGTAGCTTTTTGTTTCGAAAGGATTTTGATGTTAATAGCAGCATTTGATTTGTTTGAATTCCATGAGGCATCTGTCTCTATCACGGTTATATTTGTGTTATGAACTGAACTGCATAGTCAATCACAATGAAAGTCTATGTCGGTTCATAAGTACATGTAAATAGCTAAAATCAACTATCCCTAGTTCTTGTGGTGAGTAAGAGCTAATCCACATGTAGGGACTTCGCAGATAACATATGATAGTCTATCTGCTACCGAACTAAGCACGCAGCACGTTTTCAGTAATACTAGCTTAGTGCCGCTTTAGTAACCATTAGCTATGTATGTGCTACTTACTTTAAGTTATAGTAGTCAATTTCCCTTACTATGTGAAGAACGCAGCTTATATTTATGTACTTAGAGTCTAGGTCATGCTTTTAACTATGGCATGACTAAGTCTTACTTGGTATATCTGAGTATACGCAAGAATAATGATTCTGTCTCCTGCTAGAGCAAAGTTCTGTAACGGAAGTTGACTAGAATCGGCGACCTTAGGCCTTTGAATTGCTAAGGCGTTTATCATTCCAAGAACCTTGCCCGATGAACTGCGAATCACAATCCCATCCGCTTCTGCAGTCCAGATCCGCCCGTCGTCATCAAGATGCAGTCCATCAGATATACCACGCTGGGTGATGCCAAACAAGCGCTTGTTATAGGGAAATCCATCCGGGCCAAGATCGAATTCATATATTGCCGAAGTATCACTACCATAATATTGTTCTGGCGATGTTGATGTCTGTTCAAACCCACTGCCTGGGACTTGTGTACTCGGTGTATCGGTTACGTATAGTTTGGTGCTGTCCTTATTCACTCGGATCCCATTTGGGATGAGAATATCCGTGCGGTCAATAACAGGCAGCAATGTCTCCTCTTTAGGATCCCAGCGCCACGTTGCATCAGGAATCGTGGGAAAGTCACCCTTGCTGTAATAATAACTCAGGGGGTCGTCGGTGAAGAATAACCACGAATTATTGTCCCTACAGCCCCAGGTTAAATCATTTGGACCATTAAGTCTTAGACCAAAGTAGCTGTCGATGATAATCCGTGCATCAAGAGTTACCGGATCGATCTCGTAGATAGCCGGCGGGATTGTCGCGTTTCCGTCCCCTGCGATATATACTTTTCCGTTGAAGTATCCACCCCCATTGGGATTAAGAATTGGAATACCGTTGGATGAGACGAGCAAGGGCTTGACACTCTGGTCGCTCAGGTCCAGAATGCTCGTGTAGCTGATGTTATCTACCGAACTTGACGACATCCATACTTCATTGTGGTCCCATACCCATATTCCCATTTCGTCTGCCACTGGCTTGTTGTCTGGGTTAGTGTATAGATGCTCCAGCGTGGCATCTTTTGCCAGTAGATGTTCAAACTCGTCATCATAGGCAATGAACGGTCTCATCATGGCGGTAGAGTTGTCAAGGCCAGTGGTCTGAAGAAATGAATCCGAAGAGTTGCCAGCAAAGTTGGTAGAGATGTTGTACAGCAGAGTCGGGTTCAATCGTAGAACATTTTGGTGCGCAACAGCCACTGCGAAGGACTTGGCCACAAGAGGAATTAAGAGAGCAAGATGAGCCCAGATTCTTGTTAGATAATGCATTATATCAAGTTTTCAGCATGTGAATTATCGCCAGATCTAGATTGCATGCACTACAGCGCGGGCACAAGGCAACATTTTATATTTCGCAAATTACGGTTCACACTAGCTCAGTTTTCTTTACCACTACTTTTTGTGATAGAGAAGCGCCAGCTGGTGGATTTTCGGCATAGACTGGTACAGAGCATGCCTTTGACATCTTACAACTGGGGATGTAAAAGCTCCACAAAGACTTATCTTCAAGTCGAGAATTATGGACGCTAGGACCAAATCCAGTAGGCAACTCGGCCGCACGCCACATAATTTTAGATTCTCAAACATAGGCCGGAGACCAGAAATTTACCGTCTCCGGCGTACTCTGTAACTTGAGATGCTCTAAGCCACCTCGGCTACAATGATTGAATCCTCGCCGAGCCAGTTCCGCACAAGAGTCGAACTGCTTGCCCAAACAGAGTAGTTAAGCCCCTGCACTGATCAGGCTTACCCAAACACGAAAATCTGGGATTCAATGTCCGTCCTATAATGGTTTTTCTACGCAACTACCCTTTAGGTCTAGTATAAAAATATAGTAAACACTAAATTAAGAAAAGTAATACATTTCGCTAGTGGCTACTGACTATTACTCTATTAAATAAGGGGCCACAGCTGCAAAAACAAAGATACCTGCTATACCAGCAATATTTCTGCTGCCAGCGGCGACAGATAAGGAAAACTCTTAAGAATTATACTTTTAAAAGAAAGCCAAGTTAAATCCCTAAGTAATGTTACCTAGTACACAATTCTTACTGTATTATTACTATACCCAAAAAGTAACCCAATATTGATTTTCACACTTATCATATTAAATTAAGCCTTAATTAAACATAGGACTGCTTATAATTATTTAATTCCATCTGAAAGTGGCTGCAACAATAGCGCTTAGGAAATAACACTGTGTGTTCGTTCAAGTTTCCAAAGTCAATGAAAGAGGACTCGTGCTTTATATTCTTGAGCGGAGTCCCAGTCATTTCACATTAGCAGTAGTATATTCCAAACAGCCTTATTACACTGTGCGTATTCGGCCACGCAATCCGGATCACTAGGCCAAACAGCAGGAATGATTGACAACTGAAGACAACTAATAGTTTTCGATGAGCTGTGTAATAATTGAACGGAAAATTTCGTTTTGAAAGTGTGGGTAATGTACGCTCGCGGTTGTTAGCGCGCAGCGACATTCATGTTGATCCGGTATAGTAGACTCCAATTTGTTGGAAGCGGTTAATAATAGTAGGTAATTTCTATACTTGCAGTAGTTCTATTGTCGTGAACCTGCATGTGTAGAGTAGGTTGCTGCGCCAAGGGTAAACCTTGTGCAAGCACTTAACTTAACTGCTACTTCTCCGGTCTTTCTTGTATTACAAATCGACAACTCCTGCTACCGATATATTATAATATACCAGTAACATCCCTAGCATCAAGCAGTTGGAGGTATGTCGCTAGATTAAACGGTGTTAATATATTCTAGATAGAGAGCAGAGAGATTTAATTACCTGCAGCCTTCCAACGATGACTATTTACTCTCAGGCTCTGCTTGATATTGTGGATCGCGTTTTTGGCGTCCTCCGAGTCTGACTTTTGCAGAATTTGGGAATAGACAATGGCGGAACGATAGAGCGCATCATGACAAAAAGGAGAAATGTCATCATTTCCACTTAGCCCTGTTCGAAGAATGTAACATGAGAGAGTTAGCATATCTGCCGCTGTAGTTGATTGAGCTTCAACTACTATATCTGTCTTTACAAGAGAGTTGCGCCGATTAATCCAGGCCATCTCTTGGTTCAGAATGAGTCGTGCGCTATAAAATTAGTGTTTGACGAGAAGAACTGGATATTTTTGGTTCAATACCTGTGACATATTGTGGTAGGACAGCAAACTTTTATGCCTCGCTTCACACTCTCCTGTAGTGTAACCTTTGTTAAGGCGGCAATTGTGCTATCGAGTAGTTGTGCTTCATGCTCTAGGATACAATGTTCACTTGCTTGAGGACTAGTAAATCTTAGTACCTTTCCCAGCAAATACGCTGCTTGAACTGTCAGGCAGAATCGACCCATAGCCTCTGTTGGAGGGGAGGATATAACAAGTGGAGGATTGGGAGGTGGATACTACATTGATGTTAGTAAACTCGGGAGCCACGAGAAATTGATGGCATAAGATTGGTCTTTAAAAGCGCCTACCCCCAATTCCCAGAGCTTGTCATCCATCGGAAGTACACTCGTATTCTTAGGCTCTTCGATCAATAGAGCTCGTTCCGGGCAACCGACGTTCAAGTATCTACGTCTTGATCAGCACGCATCTCCATGCAAATCTTCCACTGCCTTGTATACCGATCTAGAAGAATAATAGTCCACCATGTCCTCCTCTCCTCTTCCGAGTCATCCAGTTTAGATGAGTAGAGGGAATCAATTGTTCGATCGATGCCAAGTGCAATGCCATATCTGGCGCAGTAACCGACTGTTAAGTAAGCTGAGGGATAAATAGCTTGCCCAAGTTCATAAATGGCAACGAGAACAAGTGCTTGTAGCGTTCTAAATGTCAAGCTGCCACTCAACTCTACCTCCAGAAAAGCTCTCTTGAGGCTGCAATACGTAGTAGAACCCGCATGGTCATCGGCTTCTGTTGTGATGAGCTTTATAGCAGCTATGAGCAGTAGATTCTCACAGCGCCGTCCGCCGAGAGGATTTAGAATCCTTTCCATGAAATTCCTTCTACATATAAACGGAGCCCATGGGTAATTGTAACAGAAGAACGCCTCGGTGAATTTCCTCACAGTGGCCACGTCCTCAGCGAGAGACAGCAAGTCAGGGCTGATGGGAAAGTTTGCATCTGGTAAACTACCCACAGATCGCAAGAATAGTGCTGAGTCGGTGAAATATACGGCAGGGAACCCATTTTGGTCTGGCTGGCCTTTGGCGACGGTGGTCGATGGAACCCCGCTTAAAGATTCGGGTGAGGTTCTTAGAACCGCGCTATTCTTTGTGTTTTTATACACGCAGGCACGATCATATCTGGCCGGCGAAATTAGTGTGCTGTGTTAACAACTCTGCGCAATAGAGCCACGCACCGCTGACAGAGAGAACACTGGGGTTGGCGCCTATCGCATTTCTTCTTCTGGTGTCGACATGTAGCGCAGGAGTACCGCGAGAGCCGGCCAGGCTCTCTAAGTTTATTATCCGTTATCCCCATTACTAAGATACACAAGCGACTTGCCGTCTGGGGCAATCTCAAGATGCGTAGATGAAGATGGACGAGCCGCGTGTGAAAAGTCCACCACATCCATGCCTGGAGGCGAGCGGACATTTAAGGCCGAGCGGACAAACGGTCGGGGTGAGCTTAGTAATACCGACTGCAATTGGCGTATCCGTTGATTATGACGCAGCGGGCAGTTTCCCCAGGTTATTCAGGGGCGAATCATATCGCTGCATTCTGTCTTAGCCGAGGTCATCGACCCCAAAGAGTCCGCTTTCGTCGGGCAGTGTTGAACTACTATACCGTACCATATGGTACTTCCCGTAGGCTAACAATTGCAGAACAGAAAGAGATAGATTACTAAAGATAGAGGTTCGGCTGATCCCGTCTCTCTCTTCCCCATGACATAAAAAAGCATCAAACAGCATCGGGCATGAGATCACTTGCTTAGCGTACATGTAGATATCCTCACGTGCTACTGTATTATAGCTACCCGGAACCCGTCGGCAGCCATTCGGATGCATAATCTTTACTAATTTTTACACGTTCCTGTATAATCGTAGCATAGAAAATTAGGAATAGCATCAAGAGACTGAATTTATTCTTTTAACTGTGTATTATACTTTGGAAACTCTGAGATCCATGAGGAATGAGGTGTAGAGAATGGGGTTAGAAAGGAAGATAAGAAACCCGCCTCTCCTTTCCTAGTGCTACAGTAAAGAGTAGTACTTAACCGTAATGCAAATGATCTGTGCAAAATGATATATTGAAATCCGGGGTATTATTCTGATGCGAACACTTGGGCTCGAGTGCCTGCGGCGATCCACGCCCAGCAGTCGGCATTGGTCGGACTTTCCTCCGACTGCTTCTCCGACTGGGCTTGTCCCCGCTCCCGCTGCTCCCGCTGGAATCTGGGGAATCAGCCGTGCCCAAAGGATGCAGGAAATGGCAGATTATAAACTAGAAGACAATGGCGGCATGTACCGACGTATTCTATACTCAAAGGAACAATTTCGCGGGGAGGCTGCAAAGAGCAAACTTGCTATATATACCGGTCGTCTTTCTCTTCAAGCCTGTTCTACTTCACTTTCTTCTGCATCATCTTCAATCAACAAGCATCTTCAATCAACAAGCATCTTCAATCAACAAACATCTTCAATCAACAAACATCTCCAGTTAAACAATAAAAACTTTTTTCTCCTACAAGATCAATCGCAATGGCACTTTTCACAACCGTCAAGACCCCCACTGTTACATATGAGCAGCCACTCGGACTGTGAGTATCAAGATTCTCCTATTACACTCACTTCGAACATTTCTTCTAACTTCTGTTGCTAGTTTCATCAATAATGAGTTTGTGAAGGGAACCAAAGGCGGATTAATCGAAACTTACAACCCTGCGGATGAGAAACTCATCACCTCTGTCCACGAAGCCACTGAAGTGGACGTTGATATTGCTGTTGCTGCAGCACGCAAGGCTCTCCAAACCACATGGCATCAAATCACCCCATCCGAGCGCGGACATCTGCTCATGAAGTTGGCGGATCTTTTTGATCGTGATTTCGAAACGCTCGCGGCTATTGAGTCTCTTGACAACGGCAAGGCATTGAGCCTAGCGAGGATCGATGTTGCCGGCGCTGCTGGTTGCTTGCGATACTACGGTGGGTGGGCAGACAAGATTCACGGTCAAACAATCGAAACGGATCCCAACTCTCTCAACTACACTCGTCATGAGCCCATCGGTGTCTGCGGTCAGATCATCCCATGGAACTTCCCCCTTCTTATGTGGGCTTGGAAGATCGGCCCTGCTATTGCAGCTGGTAACACTGTCGTTCTCAAGACTGCTGAACAAACTCCGCTTTCTGGTCTCTACGCCTCCGCACTGGCAAAGGAGGCCGGTTTCCCTGCTGGTGTAATCAACACCATTTCCGGTTACGGCCGTGTTGCCGGATCTGCCATCTCCAGCCACATGGACATTGACAAAGTCGCCTTTACTGGCTCTACCCCTGTTGGACGAACTATCCTCCAGGCTGCAGCAAAAAGCAACCTCAAGAAGGTAACTTTGGAGCTCGGTGGCAAATCACCAAACATCATCTTCAACGATGCCGACTTGGATAATGCCATTAAGTGGGCCAACTTCGGTATCTACTATACTAGTGGCCAGATTTGCTGTGCAGGTTCTCGTATCCTAGTGCAGGAAGGCATCTATGACGAATTTGTTAAGCGATTCACGGAGCGTGCGCTGAAGAACAAACTTGGTAATCCTTTTGATGAGCAGACCTTCCAAGGTCCCCAGGTCTCACAGCTACAATTTGACCGAATTATGGGATATATTGAGGCGGGTAAACAGGGTGGTGCGACTCTTGCTTTGGGTGGCAAACGACACGGTGACAAAGGCTACTTCATTCAACCCACTGTTTTTACCGACGTGACACCGGACATGAAGATTGCTCAGGAGGAGATTTTCGGTCCTGTTGCAGCCATCCAGAAGTTCAAGGATGAAGCAGAGGCTATCAGTATTGCAAACAACAGCAACTATGGTCAGTAAAACCTATTGACCATTTACCCGGGGCAATTACTAACATGGAAACACAGGCCTTGCAGCTGCTATCCATAGTAGCAATGTCAACACTGCTATCCGCGTCTCAAACGCTATACAGGCAGGGTATGTTTAGTATCAATCTTCGCTGGATAGAAACTAGCTAACGCTATTCATAGTACCGTCTGGATCAACCAGTATAACATGCTGTCTTACCAGACTCCATTTGGCGGATACAAGGAATCAGGCATTGGTCGTGAGCTCGGTTCCTACGCCCTTGAGAATTATACTCAGATCAAGTCTGTGCGGTATTCATTGGTTGATGCTCCATTTGCTTAAACGTGTCCAAATGAGTCACTATTCACAGAGTGTTATTAGATAGGAAGTTAGTATGGTATAGATTTCGAATCCTTGATTCTTATGTAGTAAACAGTACGTTCTCGGTTCAAGTTGCATAGGATATGAGATATCCGCTGCTGTCATCTCAATATTGTTGTCTCTAGCCATGGAAACCATCTTTTGACCGCAATCGCGTCGCCTCTAAAATAGAAGAGAATATTGCGAAGTCCTATTGTATCGAGATCAATTCTGAATATTACTCCAAACCTCTTGCATGGCTATCTCTTCCCTTAAAGTTTGCGTTTTTCAAGCTTCCCAGCAGTCCTGATCTTGGCTAGATCTTAAAAAGTAAAAGAAACATCAGTTTGCCAGACCTTTCCTATCGAGTTTTTCTCATTCTGTCATTGGTATCTTTATCGCTTTGATATATAGCAAGGGTACTATATAGACTGGTAAGGAAATTATGAGGCCGGTCTTGGATTTTGGATGGTAGATGGCATACTTGGGTGATTGATGGATATTTTTCATGGCCTGGATGATCTTCGCCTAGGCAAATATATATTGCGAACATAGGTCCCTAAGGCAGCGTAAATGATCGGGGATTCCATTGATCAACCACAACCGGTCGTTGATGAATGCTGCGGCGGTCTTAAGCTCGGCCGACAGCCCTTCCAGTAGCACTTCGTCTACGCAATCAGAAGGAGCTAGGACGTCGTGTCTATTAGCATTTACAATCAACGTCACTTATATTGCGCCCTTGCCAATACTCAACACCTCTTTCAATGTGGTCATATCTTCATCCATTGTAGCATTGGGGTTATACTCTGCAGGATTATAAGTATTGTGTGTCTTGACATCTTTGCATCTAATACAGCGTCTTTGTGTTGTAGTGCCTCTCACCAAACACGAGTACTTTCAGACTTGGATCATTTTCAGTACTAGGAAGTCTTAGTATGCATTCACGCTCGTTTGTGCTTACTGGGAAGCAAAGACACTCAGTTCATTTCCAAGTATTAAAGACATTCATTACAGCTATATTAGAACTATATGGAGCAACGTCAGACTATAAACCTTTTAAAGTCATTCAATCAGGAAAGCAGAGTATTGAACAATCTAGGAGGGAATAAATTCCTTTTGCATTACAAAATCAAATTAGTCCAGCGTTTAGGCCGAGATCTAGTAATTGTCAGAACAAATTAATACAAACATCAAGACGTGAAGTGGGCATACCTCGATGATAGCAGGACCTGCAGCAGTAGTTTCGTCGGAGACGCCCTCCTTGCAGGTGGTCAATACAACATAGGTCTGGCCAGCGAAGCCCTTGGGAATGGTCAAGGAGAAGCCTCCATTGACAGGTTCAGCGGGAACGAAAGTTGGGCCAGTGACGGCAATAAAGGCAGCGTAAATTTGAGCGTCATTTTCGGCCTTCAGAGTGTAACCCTATGAAAATAAGCATTTGCTTTCAAAATAATTTGCAAGGACCGTTGTGATGCCAGAACTGTATGTTCAGTAGGTAGACTTACAGGAGTGAGAAGAGTAACCGTTGCACCGGCAGTGACGGACTTGGCAGTCATAGGGGCAAGCTGTAGTTTAGGGAAGGCCTTGACAGGCAGGGGTGCATTACTCGACGGGCAGGAGGTAATGAATCCAGAGGCCAACGAGTATACCTCATCCAGAGTCAAAGGGGCGTCAAAGGGCTGAGGGAATGGGGCTTCTTTGAGATTGGCGCGTATGTAAGAGGAGTGACGGCTCTCAACAGTTAAGATGGAGCCAGCCGCTGTGAGATAGGTCTTGCTCATGATATCGGCAGCCGCGCCAAGATAGGCGGAGACACCAACGCCCTCGAGAATGGATGCCGTAGCTAGGAAGCTCGGAACGTCCGTCACGCCAAAGCTATATGTGCACGCCTCGACGGGAGCAGCACCAGCAGCTGAGAGCGAAATTAGTCATGTTCCTAGACTGTCTTGCTCTTTATGCATCACAATGGGCGAGCTCTGACATACCTTTCAAAGCGGAAGTCAGGAAGGAGACGTGAGTCTTCTCGTCCGTAGAAACCTTCTGAATATTGCTATAGAAGGTGGCATCGTAGCCAGCTTTGGCGAAGTCGGCCTGCGTGAAGTTGGCGAGGCCTTGGCGGTAGAAGGTATCCTCGAGATGTTCCAGCGTCAGAGCATAGTTGAGTATATCAGCTAATGAAGCATAATCAGCCAAGAATCATAGAAGACACATGTATTTTTCCCTCTCTGCCCTTTATGTTTGGACGGAGGCAAGAAGATAACTTACCGTCGGTAATAGCAGCACGCTTCTCAACGACTGGAGCTGCGGCGGTGAGGCCAACAGCGAAGAGAGCAATGGCAGCTTGGGAGAAGAACATGGTGGTGAATTAAACAAGACTAGGTCAATTAGGCTGGATATTAATTGCGGAGTTGATTGGAGAAGGAAGAAGTCTGTGGGAAAATCAGAGGTATTTGAGAACCAGGAACTTGAGGTCTACGTAAGTAAACAAAAGTAATAAAGTCTATTAAACATGGCTTTGGTTTTACAGGAGTGCCCAACACGGTGGCACCAGCGCTGTTCCGTGTCGACGCAAGGGAGATCGTGCAATTTGTTTCTCCCGATCCTTTGCCAGCCCCGTCACGAACAAACAGCGGCGTTGGTGCTACGGTCATTGCATGCTAGAAGAGCGTAGTGTATCCTATCGAATTACGAATACGGCTCGGATGGTGGGGTTGCCGGAATCTAACTTCTTGGAACCAATGATATCACTGACCAACGCCCTAATTACGGTGGTGATCGCGATATTTCAGGTGCCCTCCAGGCTTAGGTTGTACTAATGAGCGGATGTATGCTGGCCCGAGAGGCTAGTAACCGTGCCTAGGCGGCCGAATTAGGAAATCCCCTCGTGGCGATCAGCGACGAAAAGGGATGATCTGCATTGGTTTCTCTGTGCCCTGTTCACCTGTCTCGGGTGGCTAGGGTTCCGTTCCAAGATAGGCCGCCCGACGGCCAGATTCATGACAACTTTAGCTGCAACTGTGCATTGTAAGTACAAGCGTGGGTACTATCTATGATGATATACGGAGTAACTACAATCTAATTGCTATTGTTTACGTGATGTGACCATCATGTTTACCACACGCGTGTGGCAAACAGCACCGGAGCTACTTGACAGAGTAGTTGCTTTTCCCCCCGCGGTAGATCCATACCGCATCTGCACTGGAGCTACATAAACAGCTGCGGCTAGAAGGGACATGAAGCGTGACAAACGATATCGAGTTACTAAGAGGCCGAGCCCGCAGTACTACCTAGTAGAGAAAGAGCACACCTACATACAAGCCATATGTGTAGGTAGCATTAAGCCTTTGAGGGATATTAATGTAAGTCTGGGCAGCTGTGTATAATCAAGTTTGCAGTCTAAATGATCAAGAGTTAAATTAACAGATCCAACTTATTGCTCTCCTAGTGCCCGCGTTGGCAAGCCCCTTTTGGATATTGTCTTCGTTATTATTAACAAAACCATTCAATTTTATTTAACCCTTTTAGGGAGAATGAGATTGATCTCGATGGGGACTCATCGGCCGCTCGATGGCGCCTTGACTAATTGTGTTGGCTGCTATGCAGGGTTGGGCAAGAAAGTCGGACCTCTTGGCATTTCGCACAAGTGTCTGGCCAGCTAGTCCGGCATTATCCCCATCATTACTTTAGTAGCCTTTGCCTCCGTCTTCTCCTGTGCATCAAAGTCTCATTTCTCTGCATCCTTCGTTCGTTAGTCTGTGATTCTTTGCCCACAGGCCAAGCTGTTCTTCCAGTCACCTCGCTGCCAATATGAAGCTCTCCTATATCGTGGCCGGTCTGTCTGGTAAGCCTCTATTCATAGGAGATAAGAGATCCGCCTGAACCTCGTACTAATATATACTTCTACAGCTTTCTATGGCGTTGAGGCAGCGACCGAGTCTACAATTACCTGCAGTGCCTGCCCACCACCTTCATCGACAAACGACATCGTGACGCGCTCTGCAGTGGCTACACCATCTTGCTCTGGTCCTTCGTTCACTATTATCCCTAATAAGTCTGGGACGGGCTCTAGCGCCGTCGAACCCACGGGCAGTGGGGCTGCTACTCCAACCGGTGGTTTGCCTGTCGCCGCTGGCAATAGAAATGTTGTTGGTATTGCAGGTGTTATTGTTATCGCAGCTGTGGGTCCCTATTTAATGTAGTAGGAGAAGAGTATTTCATTATACACTACCACTGGACGAGAGGCTTATAATATATCGCTGAGAACAATGATAACGGGTTTTCATTGTCGGCTTATCAGCATTTCGGTCAATTTGCGCTAGTGACCGTCGACGCGACACTGTTCGAAAAGATTTCCGGCAGCTCACGGGCGCCATAAACCCAAGACTGCTTATGTACATGATGTTCATATATGGCATTACAGCTGCTCCAATGAGTGTCCAAGTTAGTCACAGAAGCTTCGCGACGACCATCCACTCCTGGCAAAGTCACCTCGGGCTACACAAACAATCTTGATTGCCTACTTTTATTTTCTTACAACTTCAACATACTTCTCTTCATCATGATCTATATTTCGTACCAGTGTCTGCTTTTGCGTTCCACATACAATCAGCTTTGCAAATAGATTGCTGTACTGAATGCCGATACTCCTTTGACCTCATCTGTATCAATATCCCTTGAGCCTGTAGATGGTCTTGGGAGTAAAATCCGTGCAGCAAAGCCCTCAAAAGAGTTCCAAGGTCTAGCGCAATCCCAGATTTAAAAGCTCCGCGGCCCACATCGAATTCATTTATTATAAGCTTAGATTATATGCGCTTTCACCAACTAAGTAACAGCCAATTGCCAATTCTATGATTCCATTGTAATGAACGTGCTATAGACAGAAACAGCAGCTGCTATTTATCTATTACATGGCATTGGTGGAAAAGATTAGTGGAAAGGGCCGATACCCCTGCTAAGCACTGCCCAATATCATCAGCTATTACCCGAAAAGGAAGGTTGCCAATTCAGCTATTTTGACTACTGATATTACCATGAGTGCCAAGCAGTTTGTAATAGTGCCAGAAAACCTTTACGGTAATACTAATAAGCTGTATTTTCGGCCTGGGCCGGTGCAGTCTGATTACTTGTTCGGATGCGCGGGCCAATTCATCCGAACTTAGACGAAAGGCAGCTCCCGACCAATATTTCCGAATAGCCATTACACTTGCATTTTCTTTCTCTCATCATATGTCCATGGCTATGCTTCGATGTATGTCTGACATGCTTAATCGTAACTGTAAAGCTTTAGCTGAAATCTACCAGACCTGCGCGTATTCGACATAATGCACAAGAATCGTGAGACTTCCCACCAACAGCGTGACAGATTAAGGTGTTGAGATAACTTTCGCGTCGGCGTCAATCATTGGCCGTGGCGCGAAGACTGTAAGCATCTAAAATCTTAATTAGTAAAGAACAGGGATGGTTTCTGCAAAGTCTAGACTTTGCCAATAGCTTCTCTCTGCACTCCCCTGCCATTTAGACTGTAAGCAGTAAGCAGAATCGCCTCAAATCAACAGCTGATATTCTAGATCTAATATAGAGTCGGCAAAAATGAGATTCGGAGCAAGGTGAGCCCAGTAGTAGTGTGGCTTGGAAACTTATAGATGAAATAGGCAGTTGATATGATAATTAAAGAGGCAGTTGGAATAATAGTTAAATATAATGCTTATGGGTCTTGGAGAATCTAGAACATCGTGAAGATGTATATAAAGAGCTGAGATTCTGATTCTCAGAGAAATACTCCTCAGCAATCGATCCAGTCTCAATAACAGAATCCCAGTCTCTTTCTATTCAGCATACCATCCATCTCAATCACCATGTTGAAGGTAATGGTCCTCTCCTCTCTCAAAGCCAGTGCCAGCTAACCCATTGAAGTTTTCTGTCTCCTTACTTGCCGGTGCGGCTATGGTTGCTGCTTTCCCTCCCTCCATCATCAAGGCGCCTACTGAACCCGTTCCTGATACCGTGGACTTCTCCGTCCCTCAAGGAAACTGGATGCCCTCTCGCACCAGTCCCGATGTTCCCTCTGCTGCCAATGTTAAGCTTTCTGCCCGTGCCACTGGCGAGAAGGTCAGCAACGGCAACATTGCCAGATTTGACAACTCAAACATTCAAGAGGGTGCGGGCGATGGTGTTGACAGCTACACGCTGTACCTTGGCAGCGGAAGCACATCTGCTGGCTGGCCAGACCAGAGCCGCTGGGTTTCTTTCGAGAACATGTTCAACAACTATAAGCCTCAGATGTTCGCTGCCTGTGGTAACCAGGATGGTCGTATTCCCAATACCGATGGCCCTGAAGTGGTAAGTTTCCCTATCAATCAATTCTGCCACAACCAAATTGCTCACCCGGTATGAATTGAAATAGGGAGCTATTTGGGACGGCATTCAAATGACTTCAGCGGCAACTGGAGTCGATCACCGTTTCGTGCTCGCCATTTTGATGCAGGAATCACACGGCTGTGTACGTGTCAACACTACCTCCGGTGGTGTTAGGAACCCAGGTTTGATGCAGGGTGAGTAATCACAGCCTCTTAGATGGGTTTCAATTTCTAAAGCAGAAGAGCACTAACCGTTGCAAAGATCACAATGGAGTGGGCAGCTGCAACGACAACCATACCGTACAGAAGCCTTGCCCCTCCGCCACCATCTACCAGATGATCCGAGAGGGAACCGCTGGTACCTCATCCGGTGACGGCTTGGCCAACTGCATCAACCAGTCTGGCCACGGTGATGTCTCCGATTTCTATCGCGGTGCTCGTATCTACAACTCTGGATCCATCTCTAAGAGCGGTAACCTTCAGAGTAACATTGCTACTCACTGCTATGCTTCTGACATTGCAAAGTAAGCCTATATTCCATGCTTCTTACACCGCTCAAATCAGAGTTTCTGGATGCTAACAAAAGACGCTACAATAGCCGACTGACTGGTTGGGTCAATGCGCCGTCGCGCTGTACTTGTGATAGCAACCCTGGCAGCTGCGGTGTTGTTACTAACTAGTTCGACTATAGTTTTAGTTAATACGCAGCAAAACCTCAAAGGCTAACCGGGGTCTAAGGACGTTACGCTGATCAACCAGGAATTCATTTCTAGTACATACACTTTGGGCTTGACAAAGGCCTATTTCGGGTACCCGTATATAAACACATGATGTACATATAATATCAGGGGTAGCATGTTTAGATGATTTGAGTGGAGAAAGAAATCATTGGTCTCACGAAAAGAGTGCCATGCATCTATATATATGCTGTTGTTCAATTCGACAAAACAACGTGACTGCTTACCTTCAATAGCTCATGGAAGTGTGGATCATGACTCATCCTACTACTAGTCGGTATGTCCAGCTTCGAGAACTTCGTCCAGGTCTCTGGAATTTATATGTTCATCAGCTTGTGCAAAACAGTTTACCAACCACGCTACCAAACTGCCTACATGCCAAGACTGAAATTTGTTATGAGGTTTTGATGTATGATCGAGGTAACAAGTGTATTAAACCCGTTGAATATACAGATTCTTAGGTATCAATCGAGAAAGGAAGTACTTTGTGGATACTTTCATGCGTTCGATCCTTTCGTTCCGATTATTCGCAACCAGCATGGCTAACCGGCTTTGACATGGCGCAAACCAACACAATCACAAAGGAGAGTAAACATAGGTGGGACAAACACTGAAGATGTCAAAGTCTCACAGTATTCGGTATTAACGTACGTGAGCTCTGATCTGCGTAGGCTTTTTGCAGGAGGAGATGAAGTGGAAATTTGACAATGTGCCAGAGCCTGTCCTAGAGCCTTTTGCTACTTAAAAAAAACTTAGCATAAACATAGATTGCATCGTCGGGTATGCGCAAGAAGTTATTGTTTATAACCAGCGCATGGCTTATAGCATTCATACAGTTGAAGACCGAAAACACGTTCTATTTTTTTGCTCAGTCGACTCTTGGTCTATGTGGAAACGAGAGTTATATTAGCCCATAGACCTATTGCTACAATTATGACTAAATGGGTTGTAGCCAGTTATATAACTTTACAACCACTGCTGGTTCCCTAAATGCGATACAAATCCTCCGGCATCTTTCTCAATAGTAGCGTTATGCATAACCTTGAGTACGTCTGTGACTGCTTCCGAGGGCTGTACAGGCCCTGTGAAATTAGGCTGATACGTCTGAAACGCTGCTCCCATAGCCATGAGGTTGTTTTGCTGCTTTTCGTTGGGATTGAGCAAGTGGCCTGTGTCGACTGTCCCGGGGCATACAGCCAGAAAAAGGATTCCTTCATCGATATACTGCGCTTGGAATTTTGTAATAAGAGTGTTCAGCGCCCCCTTGCTGACCACGTAAGGGTAACCGAGAGTCAGCTTCCACTTGTTGGTCATGGTTGGCTCGGCCAAGCCTGACGAGATGGCAATGACCTTTTTCGCGGTGCCTTTCCGGACAAGCGGAACAACAAGATTAAATAGGTGCGCGTTACCGACAACATTTATGCGGAACAGGTCTAACATGTCTTCTTCCAGCAGCTTAGGGTCTGCCAAGCCCAGATCCTGGACATCGTCCAGGCCGGACCAGTCCGAGATCTTGCCCGCGTTGGCAATGACATAATCGAGTTTACCATTGGTTATCTTAGATACGATGGCGACAGCAGCTTGGAGCTCTTCGACTTTGGTCATGTCAGCCTGGACGACAGTGATGTTTGAGGCAGTTATCTCCGCGGCTATCTTCTTCTCTGTTGCCTCTTTGTCGCGGACCAGAGCAACAACAACATTATTGGCATCGGCGGATAGTTGTCGAACGAACTCAAACTTTAAAGATAGTAGGATATGGTCAGTTGATAATTGTTTACACAATCGTAGGTGCCTAACAGATACGTACTCCAATGCCTCGCGACGCGCCAGTAATAAGATAAGAGGCCATGTTGACAAGCTTTTACGAGAGGTAGTGAAGAATAGGTGCTTCAGGGACAGTCAATACACCGCTATTGATCGTGGTGGTCATGTATACGTGGGATATGAACGGGAAAGCATCGCATTTTATATATTGTTAAAGTCATCGCGTGGTCCACAGCTCTGGCACCCATTGTTGGTTGTGGTAAATATCTAGCATTTTCCATCAAATTGCATTTCAATCACTTGGCTGTATTCTCGCGGATAGTTGCTAGGCGGCGGACTTGAAAGAATTTTACTTCAAGTGCATGCCTGTCTTGAACTCGGGCATCAGTTGCGACCCGCGCCGAGGACGAAGTGGAATTTCAAAAGCTCGTGAAAAGTTGCCCTGGTGGATTCGGCTGGTTCCGATCTAGCTCCTTGATTGGTCTTCCACCCAAGATCGACTGGGGGCTTTCACCGGGTTTATGCTAAGCCCGGGGAAGCCCCAGACCGCCCCTCCTGGTTGGGCTGACGGGGAATCAAACTTGTCGGAGTTTCACCAGACGCATTTTGCACCTACGTGACGGTTCCTCGCTTAGCTATCTACTGCTTTCTTCCGCGCATACTCTCTCTTCCGCTTGAAACTCAGCTTCGCGAAAAGTTGACTCACGTATTCCAGCTACACCCAAACTGTATGGCGTCGCATGCAGCTGACCAGCAGAATAAGACTAGAAGAGGATGTTGGACTTGCAAAGGTAGAGCTTCAGCCCTTTCATTGGGTGCTTTAAGATGGATACACTGACGGGAGACCCCCAAATGAAATTCGTATGCAGATCGCCGGGTTGCCTGCGACCGCCAAGTCCCAAGCTGTTCAAATTGCATCAAGTCGGATCGGAAATGTTTGGGCTACGGTGTGCGACTCTCCTGGCCACGAACCAGTGATTCCAAAAGAGCCATGGTAGGCATGTCAAACTCGCGCTCACACCCAGCACAAGTAGTCGCAAAACGCCGATCTACCTTGCTGCTGGTACACACATCATCCAGAGACATCGACATGTACCACTATCTTCGAAAGCTGCGAACTGGAAGATGTAAGTCTTGTTCCAAATTTGTAATCAATAAGTCCATGGAAGCCCAAAGCGGGCTGAGAGCTGACCCGATTTTGCGGCTCGCGCACTTAGATGAGAGACAGCCGGTCCACTTTGTATTCCCTCCACCGCCTCTGCCCTGGTCTCCAGGCAATCCTGATTCCAACACTCTGGAACTAGTAGACTATTGTAAGCCTGTCGTTCTCGAAGTCTGCTTGGCTGGCGGGTCACTGTTGCTGACTTTCTTCTCTTGCAGTTGCCAATGTATCTTACTCGACGCTGTCAATTTTAGGGGTCGATCCTGGTCGTCTGCGAGATCTTCTGCTTCGTATGACTATTTCTAGCAACACACTCCCCACCTTCGCGCTCAAATCATCACTGCTGGCCGTATCCTCACTGCATCGTGACGGTCTGCGGGATTTGGCTCTCCGGTATAAGATCGCTGCCATCAACGCCCTGGCGGAATCAGCCAAATCCGGACACCCAGATGCTCTGGAGTCCGCACAACATGCTGCTACCTGCATGCTTTTGGCCACTTTTGAGACCCAGCACCACTCCGAGTCTTCAGGCCAATGGGTGCTTTATGTTGACGGTGCCAAGCGCATCGTCCAAACCACAGGTCTTGACAAACGATCAGATCAAGCTGAGCTCAATCCTGTTCTAGATTGGATTTACTATTTGGACATTATGTCATGGTTTGTCATACGGCATTGGCGCCACCCTTCCACATTACCACATTCCACTGCAGATGAGATTGCCCTGTGTCGTGGGAAATCTCCCTTAGTAAGTACAACCGAGCACGACGGACTTATCGCACAAATAGTCGCCGCCATCAAAGTAGCCTGAGCTGACTTTGCTACTATAGTTACTGAATCGCACTACCTCAATTCGGACAGTTTTGGGACCTATTGCTGCTGTATGCGATATTCTCGTTCAGCCCCATGATCCCCGAGCTCAGGCTGCCGAGTACCAAAGTAAACTCCGCTCACTAGAGAGTATACTTATCAACAACCCCGTACCTAAGGCCGCTGTATCAGAGTCAGATGAGGGAGAAGACATTATAGCAGAGCTTTATTACCTTGCAACTCTCGTCTACCTTTTTAATGGATCAGCAAGTTCTTGTAGTCTAGACCATCAGGTCGATGGCTTGATCGACCGCGGATTTCACCTCATCAGAAAGCTCAGCACATGCGAGCGATCTTTCCCGCTCCTGATACTTGGTTCTGAAGCACGCAATGATGAGGAACGAATGCTCTTACTAGAACTTATCCACAAGACTGGGGCAAAACACAACGACAGCAGCCTCATGCGTATAAAAGCGGGCCTTGAAATGGTGTGGTCACAGCGAGACCTTGAAGCTGATGAAGATGAATACAGCGACCTAAGCTACCTCCACAGACTAGACACTGTCATCAGCTCTGCATGTACGTTGCCATTCTTTTCGTGAGTTTAGTAGTTTGGGCTATATCTGGAAAGGAAAGTTTTTATTGTCCGTTGAGCGATGGTATCTAGATGGTAGCAGCTAGTATAAGTATAGTATGTCTAGAAAACTCAGATATCTGCAATGTTGTTGTAAGGCCATCTGTAACTGGTATTTAGGTGTTCTATAGTTCTAAATGTATAGCTAAAGTCCACATTATGGCAGAACCTAACAAGAATAAGAATACACGGGCAGCCTCTATAAAGATATCCTAGGAATCTCTCTCCAGAGTAGTGTAAAAGACACTAACAATAGGATTGCAATAAGTTTTACTCAATTTCCAACATGTATCATTACAATTGAACGGCAAGTTGAACGAGCATCTCCATGGTTGCATTATTCACCTGCGAGGAATCCCACACAGTAGAAAGTTTTGTGATGCTGCCATTAGAGTCCAGCTTGAAACCCGATATGCCATTCTGAGTAGGCGCTGTAGGGGAACCGATCCACTCGTAGGCACCGCCCCCCGAGGAGCCTACAACATGTCGAACGGTAGTACCCTTACCGTAAGGTACACTGGTCAGTGCTCGAAAAAGGTATTGCTGTATGCTATTTCGACCTTCTATTCGAGTCCGCGTGGTACGATCTTCAAAGATGGCATCGAATGAAAACAGCGATGCGGCTACAATGCTGTTGCCAGTTGAAAGGGCGTCGTTAAGTTGGGAAGTAACATTCTGTATCACAGGATTCGGTGTCGTTGTTATGTTGGATTCGCCAAATGTCTTGGGGAACTCGTCGCTAGGGCTTTTCAATGCAATAAGCCCGTCGTGTCGCCCATCCCAGTAGTCCACCCATCGCGCAACTTTGCCGTCTTTGAAGTCCACGGCGGCTATAGTGCGAGTTTCAAATCCAAACATGTCTGGCGTATCTTCACCAAAAACTACCGCACTGTTCATGTCGCCGATGATCTTAAGGGGATAGGATCTCCCGTCCGGCTTGCCCTGGCTTATAAATTGCGAAAAGGCAGATGGCATATTTGCTTTATCCACCCCGAAGCCGATTATAGCGTCGAAATAGACATCTCCACTGGGTGCAAAGTACGACGCCCAGCCATCTATGTCGTGAAGGCTCTTGATAGTGAAAAAGTCGTGAAGAAAATCGACGAGTGCAGGCGTAGCGTGGCTAGTATCAGCAATGTTGGGGTAAAGGGAGGACGTATCTCGAGCCTGATGAGTCGGCGAGGCTCCCGCGCAGCTGATAAACGCCATAATGACGGCCGTCCCAATAACGGATAAAATTTGCATTTTGAACTAGCCTCAGATGGTTACAATGTCTCGTTAATGTATGTTGACCAAAGTCATTGCAAATCGGGCATGAAGCTGCTGGGTACAAGAGTTATCTTATAGTACATCCAGTAACACAAATCACAGCTAAAAAAGGAACTGGAATAGTTCGGCCGACTGCAATGGCTACCAGTCGCCATGCAGGCAACCTCATAGAGGCACTTGATAATATTACTCAGAGCCGCGCGCACGGTCAGCTAGCCATCAGACCAAGGATGCTTTATTCAAGTTCTACAATAGCTGAGGAAATAATAGATACATGTAAGCCGCGCGTGCTGTAAGCCAATCTCAAAATCAGCCGAAAATATTGTATCTGTAAGCCGCGCGCGATGTTAGCTAATATCAAGATCAAGGATGCCTTATGCAAGATCTACACTAGCTGAGAATATTATACTGTAAGCCGCGCGCGCTGCTAGGCTACTTTGTCCAAGGTTTGCTTTGGGTGCTAAGTCACTAAATGTTTACTTGGAATAGCTAGATCAATTTACTAGTAAGTATCAAATATTTTAGTAATAAGTAAATAGTGGTAAACATATACTACTAGGTATCAATAGTATCTCGTATTCCGCATACTCTTCATGCAGTTTTCTGCCTATGAATTCCTATCGCTCTATTTAAGAGCACCATTGCAGCCGTGGTGACGATAGCACCACATGGATATACCGCTTGGAGTCTGTGCCTTCCACCCAGCTCTCAGTTCGCAGCATATTTTGACAGAGCTCTTAGCTTGTCTCCAAAAATCCAAAAGGCAAAGGGTGCCGGAATACCCACGCCAATGCTAACAAAGGCGAGAACGCTGGTTCCCCATCCATAACCTAGATCGCTGTAGAGGTATGGAGCAAAGAGAGGGAATCCAAACCCCGCCAAGCTGCGGAGAAACGCGCAAGCAGCCATAGCACTGGCCGCGTAGGTCGGGTAGCTGTCGATGATGTACGTTTGCATGCCCTGCAAACACCCCATAGTCCCTGCCGAGCAAATGGCGACACCAATATTGGGCATGATCCAGTGGAGGCGGGCCTGTACACTCCAGCCATACCAGAACAGACCGATGGAGACCATGATGGAACCGATGAACATGGTTGGCATTCGGAACTCAGGCCGCCCAATACCGTTGTTTCTGCCCTTGAGGTTGCGGTATATTCGATCGATGAAAAAGAGGTTGAGTAAAAGACCCGCGAAAGAACCGATAGCGATAGAGAGGTAGTTTAACCCGCCAACACCCACACTCTCGCCATACCATCCTGTCCAAATTTCTGGAAATGTGCCGAGCATCAGATAAAGTGTCCCGAAGAGGTACGCCATATAGATTGCAATAACCGTGATGATCGGTTGGGTTGTGAACATGCGAAATGGTCTTTGCAGAGCCCTGCCGATTTTCTCCACAAGTCTTTCACACTCGAGGTTTCCAGTATGCAGCTTGTGGTTTCCTGTAGCTCTCACGATAAAATCTCGCTTCCTTCGTAATAAGGTATCTGGATGCGACTCGCGGAGCCATATCAAGCCTATGGCCTGGATAAACAGAGCTGCGACGCTAGATGACCAGAATACCCAACGCCAGGTAGTGTACTCGGCAATAAAGCCTCCAGCAATCGGCCCAACAACCGGACCCAGAAGCGGTGCGAGAGTGTAAATTCCCATAGCTTTCCCACGTTCCTCGGCGCTCCAGATATCACTGATAGCGCCTCCTCCCAGAGCAAGAGGGGCGCTTCCGCCAATACCAGCTAAAAAGCGAAAGACAAATAATTCGGCCGGAGTCTGTGCAAAGCCACAGCCTAGGTTCCATGCAAGATACCATATATTGCTAAGCTGCAGTAGACGCACCCTTCCGTAAAGCTCAGATGCGGGTCCGAAAAAAATTGGCCCGATGGCGTAGGCGAGGATGAAAATAGACAGGGCCAATTCGACCTCCAGTTTGCTGTTCATGCTGAGGTCTTCGCCCAGTTTAGATAGAGCTGGCGCTATCATGGCAGATGAGACAGGGGAAATGAATGTGAAGAACGACACCGCTACCGTATAGCGCCATTTGATCTTGTTCGGCCAATTCTTTGGGTTCTCTGGGTCTTGCGGTCCATCCCAGGTGACGAGATTGGGATCATTGATGTTTTCCGCAGGTAAATTCGCTGCTTCCAAGTCCGACTGTTTTTGATCCATTGTTGTTAAATTTGTTTTCTGAAACAACCAAACATAAAATTGTTTCTTCTCTCATCCGTGCCAGAATTTTGAGTGCCTTTATATAACATCTTATGAACCAACTTCAATAGAGTTAGGGGCCACTAGCCAATCGGAGCCAAGGATGTACTTCGGACCCGTGTTGCGCACCCGTGCTGCATTTATTGCACTTCAGATTACATCCGTTACTCTTTTCATTCCCACCCGAGCGGAACAAGTCATTGGATAAACTTGAGCCGTAACCGACGGCCGTCAAGCGTTGCAATGCCTTTTCGACCTATCGCGATTGCTCCCACGCCTAAAGAGGCCCCAATTGAGCGCGGGATTGACGATTTACAACGCAGCAGTACAATGCCCTACACCTGTCAACAGTGTGTGCGCAGAAAGGTCAAATGTGACAAGACGCTTCCATCATGCTCAAGCTGCGGCAAAGGCAAGTTTGAGTGCGTCTATCTGGCACCGGACCCCCCGCGCCCGCGAAAGCGAAAGCGGAACGAGGACGTGCACGAGCGGTTGGTGCGATATGAGCGCATCTTACAAGAGAATGGCCTTCTCTCTGTAGCTGATGGCAAAGAGACGTGCCAGAGCACGCAAAATTCAATGTCCCATGCGAGAACGGCTGGCGAGCTGCTCTCCAGTGACGGCAAATCCCGGTATATAGGCAGTGGTCTCTGGCTCAATACTGGACTAGTCAGCATAGATGAAAGACCGGAGGATGCAGACGAAGATCAGCCTGTTCCATCAGTGGCTACAAATCTGTTCACAACTGATCCAATAACCGGTGTGCTGCTTGGAAGTTGCCAAACTCTTGCCGATTATCATCCCAGCCACAGAGATGCACTGAAGCTTTGGGTGACGCATGTTGAAAATGTCGAGCCTCTTTGCAAAATCCTACACATTCCGACAACAACAAGAATGGTTGAAACAGTTTCTCGGAAGCCCTCCATGGCGTCAAAAGCGGACGAGTGCTTGCTCTTCGCCATATACCACTTTGCCGTATTCTCCATGTCGGATGAGGCTTGTGTGCTCGAATTCGGGCAGTCGCGCATTGAGTTAATGTCCAAGTACCAACATGCCGTTTGGCAAGCCCTAGTGAATGCATCATGGCTGAAGACAACACAAATGCCCATCATCCAGGCGTACGTGCTCTTTCTGATTTCCATTCGCACACAAATTGATCCTCACCTGTTTTGGATATTGACCGGTATTGCGGTCCGCATCGCTCAGCGTATGGGACTCCATCGCGATGGAGAGGGACTTGGATTACCCCCGTTTGACGTTCAAATGCGGCGGCGAGTGTTTTGGCAGCTTCTCCCCCTCGACGGATACGCAGGTCAAATCTCAGGCACCGGAATTTCCATCTCACCCAATAGCTGGGACACCAAACCACCGCTCAACATTAATGATCTGCAGATTTACCCCGATATGACGCACCACCCTGAAGAGCAAAAAGGTGCTTCTGAGATGATTTACTGTCTCACGAAAACAGAGTTGTCCAATTTGTACACGCGGACTGGCGTCGAAACGAAAGATACCGGTGGTACAATTCAACTGAAAGCGAGCGGGGAACTTGAAATGCTTATCGACGAGGTCGAAAACTCTATTGAGACCAAGTATCTCCGGTACTGCGATATCATCAACCCGCTGCACGTTCTAGTACTTGGGAGCGTGAGATCTGCTACCAACGCGGCACGACTGCGCAACCGAATCTCCCCACTAATGAATCATACCATTGGCGATCCCGAGAGGAAACAGCTTTGCACTCTGGCTCAGAAGATTATTGATACCGACTGCGCACTCTATAGTAACCCTCACTTGAGAAAGTTTCGATGGAAAATAAAGGCAATGTTCCTCTGGGATGCGCTAATGTGCATCCTGACCAGCCTAGCAAAGGTGGGATTCTTTTCGCCCGCAGAGCTCAAGAGTACCTGGAGCAAAGTAGCAGACGTCTACTTGAATCACCCTGAAATTTTTGACACCAAGACTGCGTTTCATGTTGCAGTTGGCAAGATAACACTCAAAGCCTGGGCAACCAATCCACCAAGCGATGCCACATCCGAGCCGGATTTTGTCACCACTTTGCGCTCTCAGCGCGAGAACAGGCCCACTGGCGCTGCAGAGAAAATTGGAAATGATACATTCGATGAAGAAGGTGGAATGAGTGTATCCTCACTCAACGACTCAATTTTTAGCAGCTTGGATGGAGTCGACTTCAGTTTGGCCAACGGTTTCAGCCTTTTTCCTTCAGATTGGTTCCTTGAGAACTAGCTTATTGGCTTTTACATGTAAACATGCCAACATGCTTTCTTTCGCCAAACCAAATTAGCGACTTGTTGTTTCCTTGGAGTGTCTTCGGTATTGGCCTCTACTGCGAGAAAGAAACAGGGAGTGTTTGGGAAGAAGCTTCCTCCATAAGTAAAATGCCGAGAAAGGCAACAGAGATGAAGATGGTAACTTAACTATAATGATACATTAATCTTTCGCTCTGTGTGCTTTAAATATTATTTTCGCTCTTGTATTGTAATACACTTCTGTGATCCTCAATATATTCTATCGGTTCTATGCGGAGATGTGCTAAAACTCTCTACAATGCAATCCATGCGCCCAAGAGTCTAGGGGCACGGCTCCATTCAAACAATACAAAGCTGTGCTAAATACAGCTATATAATAAGTTTCTTCAAGCCAAAGAAGGTAAAAGAACGGGCTAGAGATTGTTAAGATGAAAGAAGAAGCGAGGGAGCAAAAAAAGAAGACGTATATTACTGAAAGGAGGGAAGAAAGAACAAAACATC